CCTAAATTTCCATACGACAGAATATAGAGGCTCTAAATTTTCCAAGGTTGCATGTTTTGATATATTCATCCAGATATCACAAACCAATGAGGTAGTGACTTCTTGATTGTCAGATTTCAAACTACTTAAAATGATTATTGATAATATTGTCTTGGATTTGGAGTGAAGAGCACCTTGAGTAGAAGTTAAAGATTCAGTACACAATGTTAAAATCCCTTCATATAAGTTCGATTGTTCAATGTTATCAACTTTATTGAATGAAAATACAATGAATTTTTCTAAATTCTTTGAGCTTGCCTTTCTTATTAAAAATGACATTGCTTCAGCAGAGAATCTAGATAAATATTCCTTCGAGTGAGATAATAAAGGAAATAATAAATTAAAAGTTGTAACCAGATCATCACTTAAAAACTTGGACAAATATTTGAAAATGTATGCTAAACAATTAAACCCCCATTCGAATACTTCAGTAGATTCAAATTTCACAGCTTCTTCTAATAGTCTGATTAATGACAGCACTGTTGGTTCATAAAACTTTAAAAAGTCTGGACCCAGATCATGACAAAATTGAGCTAGTACTTCAAGTAGAGGTTGTAAAGATTTATCATCATGTAAATCGATATACTTTATTAAAGTTTCAGAGATCTTATCCTGATGATATAAAATTTGGGGCAAAGTTTGAATATATCTTTCAATTTCTTCTGAAAAATTAGTAAAACCAGCACTCAAGTTAATTTCTTTCCAATGATCAAAAGATGCTAATAAGTGAGAAGTTTCCACGTAATCATGGGCTCTTTTAGTTAAAACTCTGGCAGGTTCAATTCTCAAATCATCGATTTTAGATTTGAAAGAAGAGTATCTGTACCTCTTCGTGGTCTTAGTAGTAGTCTTTTGTTTTGCCATTTCTTCCTCACTTTCTTTTCAACTGGATCAAAAGAAAATAAATCTAAGGCAATTTTCCTTCCTATTTCACTGTCTCGACCTTTATCACTACTCGATAGATGATAATTATCTATTTTAAACAAGAAACAACTGTACAAAACTTCAAACACTCTCTTGCTTTATTATTCTTTCTAAGCTTATCTCATCTCATCTCATCTCATCTCATCGCTAAAAAATTTTTAGGCAATATCTTGCTTGATACTGTAGTCAATACCATTTTTACCAAGATGAAAAACTTCAAGTCAGGTGACTTTGGAAACAAGAAAACTGAAGGAATTGAAATAGCACAAAGGAACTATGTTCCTTGTCCATCCACTGGCACATCAAGAGTCGTTTATTACAGGTTCTTTAATGGATATTATTTTTTTTGATAGGCTTTAATGAAATATTTTAACCAGTTACTAATTTGTTGAATTTTATATTATATTATTACAAGAAACACACAATAATTATTAAAAAGTTTTATATATGCTAGATATTTGAGTGCTATGTTTGTCTTTCTGATTGTTTTACTGCTTTCCTTAGACAGTTATGAATTTTTCATACAAGGCTGGTCTTGTATTTATTGAAATTTCACCAAATGTTTCATTTTGGTCTAAATCGATACAATTAGCTGTAGCAAGAGACAACATTTCGAAAAAACTTTTACTTGCCTCACTTTTTGTAATTTCAGTTTTATTTGAAACGTCATCTTCAATTTCTACTTTAGCCTTAAGAACATTAGTGAATGTTAAGGTATCATCATCAATAAATTGTGTTCTTAATAATTCTGCCATAGCTGCAGTTGTTTTTGATACTACTTCACCTGAAGATAGTGTGACTTTTTCATTTTGTGTTGGTGGCATGTTATCAGATTCTACAATTAGTTCATCAACCGGATCTTGTCCAAGGTCTGCATCTATTGGCATGAAATGATCACTTTCATGTTCATCTTCATCATTTAATGCCATCATGCTGCTATCGATACCAGATCCTGCAACAAAATCATCACCATCAAAACTTATATTTAATTGAGGTTCTTCAATATCAATGTCAGGCAATTTTTGTCTTTTGAACCTTTGAGAGTGAACAAAGTTTTCAAATATACTTTGCGGTAAGAAGCTCATATTTTGAGCAATTTCTTCTAATAATCTTTTCTGTGTTAATCTTGTTTCACCCTCAAACTCTTGGTTATATACATCTTCTTGTTCGTAGGTTTCTGGTTTATTATGTTTGACAACATCGTCACTTAATTCAATTTCTTTGTCTTCTAGAATTTTTTTGGCATTTGCTAGCTCTTTATTTTTTGGTAACTTTGCAATTTTAGGCTCTTGTTTTTCGTTTTGGCTCAAATTAGCATTCAACTCCAATCTGGTTTCATTTTCTTCCTCATTTATATCTTTCCCTATATCTAAATCGAAACCAAAATCTGTAGGCTCTTCTATAACAGTTACATCTGCTCTTCTACCTACTTCTAGTGATCTATCTTCTTCTGGGACCTCGTTGCCATCCTCTCTAATACCAAGATCCCAATCCATATTTTCATTGTCATCAATTGGAAAATCATCTTCTTGAATCAACTGACCAAAATTATCCAAATTACCGTTTAATATTTTACTATTTTGAGTTAATTGTGAATTTGTAGTACGAGTACCTTCGTCCCAAGTTTTTGAATTATGGTCATCGATATCGAAATCTAAATTTAATGTGGAAGAATGATGATTTTCTATATCATCATCTGGGTTGAATCTTCTTCCTACTTCGATTGATGTATCCCAAGGAGCATTGCCAGTATTCAATCCATTTACAGAGGTTGCCATTGCACCTGTAACCTTTCTTTGCATTGAGTTATCTTGATTATTCATCAAACCTTCAGGAATTGTTGTTTCTTGTAAGAATTCTAGACCTGGAGTAATCAAGACTTCTCTTTCAGTGACTGCATCTTCTAAGATCAATTGGTCTACTTTAGCAATTGTATTTTCTTTACTCAGAGTAACACTGATTCTTTGGTTTGATTTAAACAAAGAACTGATTTTAATTAAAGTATCTTTTATATCACTTAAAAGGAATGCAGCTTGTTTGGAATAAACACGAACTATACCGTGTAATAGTTCACCAGAGGTACGTAAAGCAATATGTTCGACAGTGTTATTACTTCCATTTTCTTCACTTCCTTCCATATCATCTTCGGTACAGCCAGAAACTTTTGCAATTTCATTTGCAGATTTTGATATACTTGTTTGTAGAACAGTACCTCTTGGTAAATTTGACATATTAGCAGCCAACCAAACTTGAGCTAAAGGACCACTACTAGTAGCCAAACTGACTACAGTGTAAGGGTTCGTTTTTGACATATTTGCTATTATTTTTTTCTTTGGGATTAAAAGCTGAGAATTGTAATGAATAATGAGTGATAGGTATATTTGAATATTTTAATAGCAAAATTGATATTCAATATTGTTCTTTTTTTTCAATTAAATAAAAGTAAAAGATATAATTTTATAGCAATGAACAGATTCCAAATATTTGGTCTTCTTATATAGAGTATGCTTGAATAGAGTAAAGTAGGATAAAATAGAATGGAATAGAGAATATGGTCCTTTTCCCTCAATTATACTTAAAGATTTAAAAACGCGTATATCTTATTCAATCAAACGTGTGGTATAATATCCCAAGATCTGTTATTGATGAGCAATCCTTACAGATGTAACAACTAATAAAAACACAATAGTTATCGTTATATATATCTATGTTTCTTTAAACAATCAATAAACCCTCTCTGAAAAAGAAAATACAGTTACGATTGTCAAGAGGTTAAATGAATAAGCATTGAATAAATTCTAAACTATAGCACCAATAGCCAAGCACAAGTTGTTGTTGAATGTATCATCACAATCAGCATCCTCAACATCATTGCAATATCTAAATTAGATCTATTGTAGTTGCAGTTGCAGTTGTTGCTTGTTTGTTTGTTTTTTTGGTATATCCCAAGATGTGTATACATTTACGCGTCTGTCATGTTAATTTTCCTCAGAAATACTCGTAGGCTGGGAAAGAATTATATGGATAATTTGAATTTTTACTTTTTTTTTTTCAATTTTGAGAAAAAAAAAGCGACGCGTAAAAGTAAAAGTAAAAAGCCAAGTATTGTTTACGCGTCTTTTTATTTTCTCAATAATGATCTGATTTGATCTGATCTTACCTGATCTTATCTTTTACCTGAGGAACACGCCACTTAGTAAGATATTAATTATACCATATCCATGGCATGCCACGACTCCAATAGCTCACAGTTGCGCTTCTTACTTTACTGTTTATTTTATAATAGTCAAGCTGGAATAACACGAAGATAAAACATCCCCATCAGGATATATTGGACTTATATCACTTTCAAGTTTTTGTAATTCTCAGATCTAGGACAGGTAGTTTATACATTTTAGATTGAATATCATTAGCTATGAGATTTTTGTGAGTGATATCAATACTGGTGTATTCTATAGGATTGGATGACAAAATCCTATTTTCTGACATCGTCAGTAACTATAGATATAGATAGATATATTTTATAGAATAATGTCACAATAAAAAGAATAATAATTTGTAGTTTCTTGCAAGAAATAAAACTTAAAAACTATTACAATTACATTGATATAAAAATATTTACAATGTATTGTGTTTGATCTATCTAATACTAAAATATTTTCAGGCACAATGGACGGTTGCAATATTTATTGGCTCACATTGTACATCCATGGTATCATTATCATTATTTAAGATCATTCTAGTTTTTGTTTCACTAATTACAATTTATTGAATACCTCATTTGCTGTATATATATCACTTATAAGACCATGATTACCGTTTAAGACATAGTAATCATTTGCACGTTATTTTTCTAGAATAAGCTACAAAATATATATTTCATGTTTTGTTCATAAATTAATGTTTGTTTTCGAGAACAAGACTTTAATATAAAGTAGTTGATTACGGAATGCAAACAAAGCAAAAAGCGCCAGTTACATATCAATAGTTAACAAGCTATAGCATAACACACCTATCCATCTTTTATGGTTATTCCAGAAGTACAACTTAGAAATGCTATAATATTCTTACTTACTATCGTACCAGATATCCATCATTCATACCTACAATATCTTTTGCAGTCTCTCATTCATCTTTTCAAGTCAAGTATGAATTATTGAATCAAGATACATAACTTACAGTGTATTGGGAGATCGCACACTGTAAAAGCAATGAAAGTTCACTCCAGTATTTGTATATCTCTCTGTTTTAACATCATCTTCCTTTCCCCCCCCCCCCCTTATTTCTCCTTTTTTAATCCACATCTTAATAGATGAGATGATCACATAAAATTACATTACGAAAGAGAATTAGCCCCCCTTAGTCAGATATATCTAACTACAAGACAGCTAGTTAGTGCTTGTACTTTTCATAATTATTATGCTGTTTTAATAAAAAAGCTTTTCAAGACAAGTATAATTCACCAATTAGTTAACTAAGCAGTGCTACCTTGTTTGAATTATTCATTAGTTTTGCCGATTCTTTCCATCCCCTTCCCCCTATCTAGTCATAACTAGTTCGTTGTTAAAAATGTTACAAAAAATTAAATAGCATTCATTTATCTTCATTCTCCTTAACCCTCTGGTTTGTCAGCCTTATTTCTAATTCGAAACTCCGAAAGTTAGATTAAACCAAGTTAAGCCAAGATGAAATGATAATGAGGGTGACTTGTTATGATCGTTGTAGTTTTCGAATAAGGAATAAATTATTGATATGATCAATTCAATGACAGAAAAGTAGATATTTTTATAGATGTTTAGGGCCATTTGTAGTTTTGGGATGACTGGAAAGTGTGCCCAGTTATTTTATCCTGGACCTCAAAAAGTTAAAGTCTTCATGGAATACGAAAGGTCCAGAAATAAAAATCATTGGATCGCAGGAGTGTGTGACCCTTAGACGTAATACAAGTCATCCATCGATTTTTTAGAGGTTTAGTAAATTAGATTGAACTTCTTTACTTATTTTGTATGGTTGTGATCAATCTGGACTAAATGTATTTTTATTTTAGTTTCTTTTATTATATGTTCTATACTGTCCTGTTCGGGAGTGTTTTAAAAGAAAAGTGTATGATATGTAGAATAGGGCTCCTAATATTTTATTTAATACAATAATACTTCATGACTGAGAGATCATTATTAAAATCTATTCTAATAATAATATGTAATCCACACACATTCATACATACATATATATATATATATATATATATAAATATTCTGTTTCCAACAGTCTTGTAACGATTATTTGAATTATGGACTACCAGATTTGTTATTATTCTCCCCCCTGATAATTGATCATATTATATAAAAAAGATACTAAGTCAACTATTAATACTTATTTAATACCAATAGCAATAATATCGAAAATGAATAGTGATCCGGACGACTGTCTTACTAGATTACCAATACCAAATTTAAATGATACGTTAAATAAATATTATGAAACTATCGAACCATTACAAGATGTAAAACAAAATGAAATATTTAAAAAAAATCTATTCTCTGATGATAACTTACAAGTATTAACAATTTTAGATAATGCTTTGAGAGAATATGATAAATTATTAGAATCAGAAAATCCAAAAAGTTCATACATTGAACAATTTTGGTATGACGCCTATTTATTATATGACGAAAGTCTTGTAATGAATATCAATCCTTTTTTCCAACTTGCTGATGATCCAACAATCAATAATAAAACTTTTTATGATAATATTTCAAATGGCAGTATTAATTATATTTATGGTGAATACACTTTACAAATTAAAAGAACTACAAAATTGGTAAATTCCATTTTAAAATTCATTAGGGAAATTCGTCATAATAAGCTAAAAAAGGATTACATTATCAAAAGAGATAAAAATGGTAATAGAGTTAATGTTAATTTATCAATGGATCAGTATGATAAATTATTCGGTTCAAGTAGATTACCGCCTTCAAAAGATAATGATTATTCTTGTAACTTACAAACTGATAAAACATCACATCATATTATTATAATATACAAATCTCATTATTATTGGTTTGACGTTTTGGATGTTAATAATAACCCAATTTTCCAAAAACCTGAGGATTTGGAATGGAATTTATTTTCAATAATAATGGATTATGAAACGAATCCAAATACTTCCTTACCATTCGGTGTTTTCACTACAGAAAATAGGAAAGTTTGGTCAAATATAAGAAATTACATATTTAACGAAGAAGATAAAACTAATTATCAAAACTTAAAACTGATTGATAGTGCATTATTTGTTATCTGCCTGGATGATATAGAATTTGATTCTACAAATGAGAATGAACTGGTCAAATCAATGTTATGTGGGACTTCAAAAATCGGTTTTACCAACAAAACTGATGCTGGATCAAATGAAGATAAAATGGAGCAGACATTAGGTGTTCAAACTGGTACTTGTTTGAATAGATGGTATGATAAGTTACAAGTTATTGTAACAAAAAATGGGAAAGCAGGAATTAATTTTGAACATACAGGTGTAGATGGTCACACAGTTTTAAGGCTAGCGACTGATATTTATACTGACTCAATTTTAAGCTATACCAGTACAATTACAGAAAACACTCCAAAGATATTTAGCAATGATATTGGAAGATCATCAATGGATAATGGAGAAGAAGCCAAAACAGCGAATGTGATTACAATTCCTAGGAAGTTAGAGTGGAAGATGGATTCCTTTTTATCATCATCATTACATTTTGCAGAAACTAGATTATCTGACTTGATTTCTCAATATGAAATGGTGACACTAGACTTTGATAAGTATGGATCATCTCATATTAAGTCTAATTTTAAATGTTCACCAGATGCATTTACCCAACAGATTTTTCAAATTGCATATTATTCATTATATGGTAAATTTGAGAATACGTACGAACCTGCAATGACTAAAACATTCCAAAATGGTAGGACCGAAGCCATTAGATCAGTGACATTGGAATCTAAAAATTTTGTTAAATCATTATTTGATAAAGATGCAACTGATGAAGATTGTATTAATTTTTTACATGAAGCATGTAAGAAGCATTCTCACATTACTAAAGAATGTTCAATAGGGTTGGGACAAGACCGTCATTTATATGCACTTTATTGTATATACAAAGAAAGATTCGAAGATACTTTGCCAATACCAATAATATTTAGAGATAAATCATGGAAGATATTAAATAAGAATATTTTAAGTACCTCAAATTGTGGTAATCCATGCTTAAAGAATTTTGGATTTGGCCCAGTTACACCAAATGGATTTGGAATAGGATATGTCATCAGAGATGAATCCATATCAATAGTAGTATCATCTAAACATAGACAAACCCAAAGGTTTGTATCATTGATTGAAAGGGCATTTCTAGAGGTTGATCATATATTCCAAAGACAATATCCAAGCAATGATAATTCGATATCACATACCAATAGTAAGAATGAGAAAAATTTCAATTCCTTAGGGTCTTTACACCGTCCAAGAAAGAAACAACATCCAAAATCAGAAGATTTAACATACTTATTGGGTGGGTATGATTATTTTGATGTGAGTGTGACCGGATGATGATAAAATGAGTTTTCTTCCCTTATCATACCTACACATTCATACATACATACAGAGAGACATTACATATACACATACCTATATATAGCGTTACGTACATTCATGAATAAAACATTCTTAAAGAAATAAACTTAAATGTAGAAGTGCAAGATATTAACATGATATAAGTTAACTTATTCAAGAGTAATCGATAACTCTGAATAGTTCTCATTACCTCCTTGAATGACTACTCAAGAACTAAATGAACCACGTATAAGGGACTTATTCGAACAGTGCAATATCTACCAAATGATAATAGTTTAAATATATTTAATCTATAACCTCACCCATATGCTACTATGAATCCAATACTTCAACAGAATCTCTCATATTAAATGCACTTTTTAATCATCAAGTCTTTTTAACCATCTCTTTTGACTGTCCTCTGTCCTCTATCTCACTCTATACCTTAGATGGCTGGTCCCTCTCTTGTTTCCCGTTTTGACTAATTTCCTCCTTTACGAACAAAACCTTTTCGAAATTCGAAATTCGACATTCGACATTCGAAATTTATTCAACATTGAACTAAACTATGGGATACGGATACGATATCTAAGGAAAGGATACTTTTATTAGTTGAATTGTAGTCTAATTATATCACAGGGGGACCTCTGATTATCTTTGACCAGTGTTGTTTTGTTATTCTTTTGTTGTAAGTCAGTTAGATACCAAGAATAAATCATTTTTTTGTTAAGTTACATTTGTTTAAGTTTAGGATACTATTTATTTTGTATAATAGCAGCAAAATACGAATTCTAAAAGAAAAAAATAAAACTTATCCCCTCTACTGTTTTGGGTTTTAATTTAGTGACCTTAAGTTAGGATTTGAATCTATATATATTCCTATTCCAATAATCTTATCTGCTTTTGGATTATTTGAGGGTAGATATACACAGATATTTTTATTTTTATTTTTATATTTAGAATTTGAGCTGTTAATTGTTATCGGTTCTCGTTTTTGAGAGCTTTGTAATAAGAATTTTACTTCTAGATTACTTGAAATCGAAATTTCATTAGTTATCTTCTCAATTGAATATTTATTTCTGAAAATATTCGATTTTCTATTTTTGTCCAGGCAACTTAGGTCCCTCACTCTTTCTTTTATTTAATTTAATTTCATTTTATTTTACTTCAACTAAATAACCCAGTATAAGATGAGTACCTCTGTTACCTTAAAGATGCCAACCAACTCTGCTGGCAAAGCTATGTTGGAATTGAAGTTGCTTGACTCTCTGCGTGGGTCTAATTTTGAAGAATTGAAAAAATTGTTGGATACTGATTTTAACGATTTCGATAAAGATTCTAAAGACTTAAAGAATTTGGTGCTACATTATGCCGTGCAAGTAGCGAATTTAGATCTAATTGAACAGATTGTTTCAAGTAGAAATGGGGAAGGTTCTTCAAAAATTATCACAGATATAAATTTACAAGATAAAGATGGTAACACACCATTACATTTAGCTGCTGCACAAAGTCGTGGAGATGTAGTAAATTATTTAATGAATCAACCAGATATTAATGATTGTATTAGAAATAAAGCAAATCTACAAGCTGTGGATGTTTGTAAAGATTTAAACGTAGTACAAACTATGCAATTGAAACGTTCAAAATACGTTCAACAAATGTCGGAGGTATTAAAAGATGCAGCTAGAAAGAAAGATTTCAAGAAGATAGATAAAATTTTCGATTTACCAAGAAATAAAGAATTATTAAATTTAAATGGTATAGACTCTTCCACCGGTGAAAATATTTTCCATGAGTATGCTAAGTTAGGTGATGTCGATGTTTGTCGTTGGCTATTGAAAAATGGTGCCAACCCTTCCATTACGAATTCTAGAGGTCAAACAGTTTACGATATCGTCAACCATTTGAAACCAACAGAAAGTTTAAAATATGAAAATATCTTGGAATTAAAAAGATTATTAGAAGAAAATGCTAAAGAAAAGACCGTTCTAGATATGACTCACTCATTAAAAGAAGCTCCAACTTATCAAGGTTATTTGAAGAAATTTACAAATTTTGCAAAAGGTTTTAAAGTTCGTTGGTTTGTATTAACAAGTGATGGTAAATTATCTTATTATAAAAATCAAGATGATGCCAAAAATCGTGCCAGAAATTCGCTGAATTTGGCAAACTGTTACCTACATGTAGATTCAACTGAAAAATTGAAATTTCAAATCATCAGCAATGATGCTGGTAGATCAAAGTGGAATTTAAAAGGTACCCATGCAGTTGAGACTAATAAATGGATTTGGGTTATCCAAGCCGCTATTAGATACGCAAGAGACAAGAAAAGTGGTGTACTACTAAATGCTAAACATATAAATAGAAGCACTCCCTCTTTAGGTAGGAATCCTTCAGTGAAAAGTAATGACAGAAATAGTAGAAATAGCAATGCTAAGTCTATAATGTCCAATGAACTGAAAATGAATGAAAATTTGACGCAATCAGGAAAATCATACGTTAACAAAGTCATTGAAACTAGATTAGAAGTACCACAAGAATCACATTCAAATAAGGAGCGTTTTTCAGTAATGGAAACAACAAGTTCATCTCCTACAAAGGCAGCAGATGTTTCTAGTATGTCTATTTCAAGCTCTAGATCGAATATAGTTTATGAGGAAGGGAAGAATATTGATAACTATCAGGAGGATGAAGCAATTTCTGAGGAGGATGAAGATGGAATCGATTTGAAACAAGGATTCAATGAAGAAGATTTGAATATGCAATATGGTCCTCATTCACAGGAAATTTCAATGCTTCAAAAAACAATTTCTTTAGAACTGAACTCTGTTGCCAAACTCCTTAAGAGTGGTACATACAATAGTGAATCCAATAGGGTTGTAGAAAAGTCAATGGATTCTGCACTATCCTCATTTGAAAAACTGAATTCTTTAACCACTGAGAGGGAAAATAGGTTTGTGTCCATGCTCGATAAACAGCGCGATGTCAATAGTGTATGGATCCAATCAGTAAAGGACCTTGAACGTGAGATGTTGGAAAAGACAAAGAGATTAGAATCAATTGATAAAGAAAGAAAGCAACTAAAAAAAGTACTCCAAAAAAAATTACAAGAAAGTGCCGCAGCTTCTACAAGATCAATTGTGTCAGTCGACTCAAAGGAAGAACCAGGAAGTACATTGGATTATGTAGCTAAATTTATCAATGCTACAAAGGATGAGAATGAGGATTCTGACGCCGACGAATTTTTTGATGCAGAGGAGTCCCAAGAAGAAGGTGAAGAAGAACATATGCAAAAAGCACCTGCTACAAAAGAAAAAGAGAAAGTACCTGTTATAACTTTACTACCTGCTGAGACAATACCAGAAAAGCCAATTGAAAATCATGTTCCTACTGTTCAACCAGTATCTATCGAAAAAGAACTTGTTAGTGCTACACCGGAAGTAGGGACAGAAGTTGAACCATCAGTGCCAGTAAAACCACTTGAAATTGAGGTTCCAAAAGAACCAGTCAAAATTCATGCTGCAGGTCCAATTTCAGTTCCAAATGTAGGTCCGATAATAAGTCCTGTTTCAAGTAAAGCTGCTGAGTTGGATATTTCACCAAGAGTTTCAAAGGAACTTCAAAGAATTGTAAAAGAAGAAACAACCATATCAGTTGAAAAAATTGCTGTCAATGAGCTACAAAGAAAAAAAGAAAGCATAATGCTGAAAGAAGGTTCATTCAAGGGTTATGAAGATGGTGTGAGAAAGAGATTAAAATTAGATGAAGATGATCGTCCTTCCATTAGTTTATGGTCCGTATTAAAATCTATGGTGGGTAAGGATATGACAAGAATGACATTGCCTGTTTCATTCAATGAACCAACTTCTTTGTTGCAAAGAGTTGCTGAAGATTTAGAGTATTCTGAAATAGCAGATCATGCAGCTCAATTTGATGACTCAACCTTAAGAATGCTATACGTTGCAGCATTTGCAGGTTCCTCATACGCTTCCACAACAAAGAGAGTCGCCAAACCATTCAATCCGCTTTTGGGTGAAACATTTGAATATGTAAGACCTGATAAACACTATAGATTCTTTGCTGAACAGGTTTCACATCATCCACCTATTTCTGCAACCTATACAGAAACCCCTAAGTGGGATTTCTGGGGTGAATCATGGGTTGATACCAAGTTCACTGGTAGACAATTCAATGTTAAACATTTGGGTTTATGGTATTTGAGAATGCGTCCAGATTCTACTGGATCAGAAGAATTGTATACATGGAAAAAACCAAATAACACTGTTATTGGTATTTTGGTTGGTAATCCACAAGTTGATAACAATGGTGATGTAGAAATTACGAATCATAATACTGGGGATCGCTGTTTACTGCATTTCAAAGCCCGTGGTTGGAGATCTTCTGGCGCTTATGAAGTTAGAGGTGAAGTTTACAACAAGGCTGGGAAAAAGACTTGGGTATTAGGTGGTCATTGGAATGAGTCATTTTATGCTAAGAAAGTTACTGCAAGTGGAAATGCAGAATTATCTCTTGAAAAAACCAAAACTACTTCATCAGCTACATTCCATGAACCTAAATTTGATGGTTCGGTATTCCAAATTTGGAAAGCTGGTAAAAGGCCTAAGGCACCTTTCAACTTGACACCATTTGCAATTACTCTAAATGCTCTACAACCTCATTTGGTGAGTTGGTTAGCCCCAACTGATACTCGTTTAAGACCAGATCAAAGAGCTATGGAAGATGGTGAATATGATTTAGCTGCTGATGAAAAGCATAGACTTGAAGAGAAACAAAGAGAAGCTAAGAGAGAAAGAGAGGACTCCAATGCCGATTACAAACCTAAATGGTTCATTAATACTGTCCATCCGGTTACCAAAATGAAATATTGGAAACCAAAGGAAGACTATTGGATTTGTAGAAATAATCACGACTTTAAACGTTGTCCTGATATCTTTTAATGAAAAAAAAAATCTTATTAAAATAATTTGAGAATGTATTATATTTCAATTCAAATGTTCACTCATGTATACTTACAATTATATATATATGTATTGCATAATACGTAATATACCAAACTTGAGATTGCAATTATTACTCTATTGTCATTTAATAAAAATTAAATTTAAAAAAAAGTTCTTAAACTTGAAAATAATCTCAATTACACAGTACTATTGATGATACCAAGTATTCCAAAATATTGTTTTATTCAATGAATAAGCGAAGCATGCCTTCAAACTAAGTTACTAAAACAATCGAATCAAATACAATTTACATCGTATTCAAGAAAAGTTGGATTAACTATAAAAAGAGTTAATGTAAAGTACAATTTATTCTACTAATTACTTAATAATACAAATATATTATATATGCATATATCCATTGAATCGAAAGGCTAACTAAGATGAAACATTCAGATAAAAGTAATTTTAATTTATAAATTTATTCTTCTAATATCTCATTTTTTGATTTGAAACAATTAATATTATCAAGAGAAATACTGATTCAAAGGAGGTTTTTATTCAATTGATACTTGAATCATCATTGAACCTGTTCTGTGCCATTACTTCGGAAGTAAAATCACATCCTTCTTACAGTTACCTTCTAGCAAATATTTTATTCTTTTTTGTCTCTAATAGTAACCTTTTCCAGATCTTTAATGTTCCTTATTTGAGAATTTGCCTTAGTGAAAAGAAGAAAATTAGTATGGCATCTACTATTTCAATGTGAAGGAAACTGTAAGAGAAGCTATAAAATATTTAAAGTGAATAGTTGGTTGAGGTATAATCGTATATAAGGTAAGAACATGGATGATTTGAAAGGGATCATTAGAAATTATTTCTTTAAAAATATAATGTATCCTTTTGATGTATTTCAATAGCGAAGTATAGTAAACTTTATAAGGACGTCACTGTTCATTCACAGTAACACAGCTACTATTATTACGTCTGTTAATTATTATAATTTTACAAATCGATATAATGACATTTTCTACAGTATTTATCAATACACCACCTCCATATTTGTCACTAGCATCTGATGAAGTCTTGCCAGTTGTTATGACAATTGCAGGTTCTGATTCAAGTGGTGGTGCTGGTGTTGAAGCTGATATTAAAACAATTTCTGCTCATAGATGTTATGCGATGAGTTGTATCACTGCTTTAACAATTCAAACACCAGCAAATGTTTATGGTGTCCATACAACTCCAAAGGATGTAGTCTCTCAAATTCTAGATGTCAATTTAAATGATATGAAATGTAATGTTATTAAAACCGGTATGCTAACTGAGGACGCCATTCAAGCTTTATCAAAAAAATTAAAGGAATTAGGTGCCAACAGACCAAAATTAGTTGTTGATCCTGTTTTAGTTGCAACTTCTGGTGCTCCTTTGGCTGATGAAAAATTGGTTAAATTGATGAAGGAAGAATTAACCCATTTGGCTGATTTATTAACACCAAATATTCCAGAATGTTATAAATTAATTGGACATAAAGTTGAATTGAAAAGTCTACAAGATATTTTAGATTTGGCAAAGGAAGTTAGTGAATCCACTAACTGTCCAAATATTTTAGTTAAAGGTGGTCATGCTCCATGGAACAATGAATCTTCTTCGTTTATTACTGATGTCTTGTATTTGGCAAATGAACAAAAATTTATCGTGTATAAGGGCCATTATATTAAAACTAATAATACTCATGGTACTGGTTGTACATTGGCATCTGCGATTGCATCAAACTTAGCACGTGATTATTCTCTACCTCAATCTATTTATGGTGCAGTTGAATATGTTCAAAATGCTGTAACTATTGGCTGTACTGTCACTAAAAAACATGTCACTTCAAATGGTCCAATAAATCATTTATATGCTGTTGAAATTCCATTGGAAAAAATGGTATGTGATGAATGTTTCGATGCCCATGAAGTTGTTAATCATATTCCAAATGAGCCTTCTCCAGTAGCAAACGACTTCTTTACATATTTGATTACGCATCCAGCTGTCGCTCCCCATTGGAATTCTTATGTTAACCATGATTTTGTTAAACAAGTTGCCCAAGGTACTATTGCTCCAAAGAAATTTCAATTCTTCATTGAACAAGATTACTCTTATTTGGTAGATTACGGTAAGGTTTACTGTATTGCCGCCAGTAAGGCTCCTAACTTAGATGAAGTTGAAAAGGCCTTAGCTATTGTTGGTAATATCAGAAGAGAAATGGGTGAACATGAAAACAGATTAAAAGAAGTATTTGGAGTTAAAGACAATTCCTACTTTGAAAATATTCAAAAGGGTCCTGCTTTGAAAAATTATTCAAGATACTTCTCTGATGTTGCAAAAAGAGGTAACTGGCAAGATTTGGTTACATCTTTATCACCATGTTTAATGGGTTATGGACAAGCTCTAATTAATCATAAAGATTATGTAGTAAAAAATGAAGGTAATGTTTATTACGAATGGTGTCAAGTTTACAGTTCTACTTGGTACCATGAAGGTATGGAAAAGGGTAAACAATTGTTGAATCAAATAGCTTCTACCTATCCAAAGGAAAACATTGAAGTTTTAGTTAACATTTATGCGCAGGTCTGTGAACTTGAAACTAAGTTCTGGGATGCTGCTTTAGAGTTTGAAGGTTAAACAAGGGACCAGGGACTTAATGACAAATTTAAATGGATTATATATCTTCAATTAATTAGTAATAGATATAATATCACTATCGCCACTAATACTATAAACGTTTTTAATGTTTTAAAATATATTATAATATTCGTTAAAAATCTATTAGAAGTGATATATTACACTTAAATAGGAATCTCTATATCTCTATATGTTTGTCGTTAATGAGTGAGTGATGGTTTTAGTTAAGCACTAAAATAATAAAAATAGAAGTAAAATCAAAAGTCTATCATCATATAATTTATAAATTTATGGGTTAGATGCAAAACCTTCATCACGAACTTTTTGGGCATTAATCTTTGCATTTTCAGGATCCAAGTAAAACTTATTAACAAATTTAAAAGTTTTCTTTTCTAACTCTATAACCAAAGGAATACCATTTGGAATATCGACATCCTTAATTTCATCATCTGGAATTCCTTGAAGTAGTTTCAATATAGATCTAACAGAAGAACCATGTGCAACAATTAGACAAGAATCTTGATTGTTCTCATTTGCAATTCTAAAAACGACATTTTCCAAAAATGGTTCAACTCTTTTAACGACGTCAGCTAATGATTCAGAATTTGGTAATATTTCACCAGATTTTTCTTCTAAACCATATTTCAAGTGCCTATTTGGTTCTTTAAAATCGTAACCAGTGGATGAACCTTTATCATTAATTTCTTGTACCATTTCTCTGTCTAGATCAGCCATCGGAGGTTTACCATTGTAGCCTCTTCTAATGTACATATATTGCTTCTCACCATATTCTTCTAAAACTTGTGGTTTTCTCTGACCCTGCCAAGAGCCATAGTGTCTTTCATTTAATCTCCAAGTCTGTAAAATTGGCATTATTTTTTTATCATCGTTACCATTACTGCTATTTTTTTTATTGTTGTTAATATCATCATTATTATCTTTATCATTATTGTCATTATTGGTAATATTCAAATCGTTGTATTGACATTCAATTCCTGTAACGACTTGAACCGCTTCAGTTAAGTTCCATTGGTTTAAAATTTCTTGAATAGTCTGCTGGGTTCGTATCAATCTTGAACAGTAGCCAATCTGTGGTAAAGATTGATTATTATCATTACAATATTGTTGAATTAAACTAGCAGAATTGTCGGCTTGCAATTTACCCTTTTCAGTCAATTTTGCATCAATCCAACCACAGAATATATTTTCATGATTTAATTCACTTTGGCCATGTCTCAGGATAAACACTTTAAAAGTATTAGAATCTGACATTACAGTTTAGATTAGGATTATATTAAAAAATTAATTAAAGTAGATTAAAATTACTTTTTGGAAGGGGATGAGATATAGATGAGCTAACAGATAACGAATAGAGGCTTGTTCTTTAATTTACCAAATAAATAGATAATCAATTGTCTTTCCTTCCTTTATTTATCTATGTATCTATTTATTTATTAGTAGCGATGCAATGCAATATTTTACTATTATTTTATCAAGCTTTTGAAATCCAGAATGACCAATTTCTTTCTGTATTCGAATTTTCCTTCTTAACTCCTTTTCAATGAAATTTCCAACTAAACTTCGTATTTAGTTCTCCTTCAAACTAGATCAATCCCAATTCTTATTTAACTTGCAATTGTCCTGATAAGTACTTTAAATCAGAATTACAAACCAATTATCCATCAGTTGTCGTTGCTATAATAACCTATTTCGAAATCGAAATCGTAATCAAATTGGAATTCCTATTCGATTTCGAAATTTTAAAGGCTTCGTATCCCAAATTGGGCTTCTAGAAAAAAAAGAAGAAAAGAGAAGTAGTTGAAGCTGAAGAAATGGAAGGCATCTACAAGAATCAGACCAACATCTACAATTTACAACAGTTACGATTATTGTTGCAGTTTTACCTAGATTGGATTATAATTTTAAGGTTAATTAATTAGATATAATGACAGTTCTATATGTAAATAAAATGTAGTTCGGATGAGAAAGATAGGGAGGGAGTGTGTGTGAGTGTGAGTGAGAATGATGAGATGGCAATTGAGGTAAAAGTTTCCAGATCGTTGATTTAATTTCTTGTTTCTGCCGGTTTGTAGTGGTTGTGACTGAATTATATATAAAGGTATCATTCTCCCCCCCTCTTCTTACATTGATATATGTGTTTATGCAGAATATCAGATAAGCTTAAATATGCGTCAGAATATGGACTACTGCATTATTAATAGTTAATTATTTGCTTAGGCTATTAAATTAATTGATTAGTTAGTTACTTAGATATACCTATCTTGACAAGCTTATGTCAATCGTGGATCAAATCAAGTTCGGTTAATATCCTTATTTTTTGTATTCAGTTCCGTTTCATGGTTTCAAGTAATATCTACAAAAGAATAAGACCATCTATTCAAACATTTCTTTCAATAAATGATTTAATCATACCAATTGGAGTTTCTTCATAATCCTTAACGGTAACTTTATCATTAATAACTTCTGTGTTTGCTTGGATAAATTGTCTTCTTGGTAATCTTTTCTTAATTACAATATCTCTGAATTTTGCTAAGGATGGTGGAACTGTAGATCTGTCGGTAAAATATTTCGTACCATTTTCAACATCAGCTGTTGATTTATAGACATGTAAATGTTTTAAGAAATCACCAACACACTCAACACCTGTGCTTTCAATTAAAGATATGTCCAAATCTAAATGGAAATCAGTTGGGTTAGCATCATTATCAGTAATAATTTTCAAGAAGTTTTCATTATTCGAGTGCATCAAAAATGTTTTCATTATTGAAAATCTAGCTTGCATATGTGGCTGACCCCATTTACCGGTTTCAGGTGACCAGAATTCCAATGCCATGAAACCTGCTCTAGCCATTTGTAAATATCCGATGTAAATGATATTATCTTGCTCTTCTTTAGTCTTGTATCCAAATATTTCTAATAGCTCACGATTGGTAATCAAATACATTGCTACCAATTCTGCACGACATTCTTCAAATGCACCTGAAATACTACCGAATTTAGAACTCCAGGTTTCACCTAATTTATAATATGTTCTAATTGGATTCCCTTCCAATCCTAATGGGGGGTTTTCAAAATCAAAATTATACTTGCCTGATTCAATTTCACTTAACAACTTCCCTGTACCATGACCCAATAATTCATGAATACCAACTTGAACTTCAAACGATTCATTTTGACACTTCTTATAGATTGGCATATCTTGTTCAGAGATAAATGTTGGTGGGTATTTATCTGTGGATTTAGTGGCGGCACTTAAGATGTTTCCCAAGGAGACATTTTTGAAACCCACATTTATTCTGACATCATCGTAGTTTGGAATATTGATACCAGCTGGAATACCTGAACCGGTAAATGTCAAAACTTCTATTGAGGTGAAATCTGGTGGATTAAATACATTTTTTTCAAAATCTTGACCCCATGGTAATAACTTTATAAAATTTTTTGCATTATCAACCATTTTTGAAAACTTTGCAGTACGATCTTTATTTTGGACAGCAACTAGTGCTTCCCATTCACCAATAATACCCGAAGGCTCTCTGTAAGTTTCAATGAAACCAATATTAGTCTCAACGATTGGAGATAAATCCTTGACCCATAACTTTTGAGATTCTTTGTGAGCATTTGAAGAACCAGTAGTAAAATAGTAGATGTACTGATCTAACATTTTAGATTGAGTTTCGTTAGCTGAATAATTTTTAGCCAGTTTCAAATGTTCAGCAATTTTCTCCATTTCTCTTGAATGATCACCAAATTTGAATTGAACACCGTAGGTCTTACCATCTGCACTGAAGGTAATTTGATTAGTTGGATATTCATCTGAGACAGTATTTTCTACAATAGAGGAGGCAACCCAAATAGTGAAGTCAACGTCACTAGTTTTTTCAATTCTAGTGTTTTCAGGTAAAATATTCAATTTTGTGAAAACATTCGACTTTAATAAAGCCATATCCTCTTGAGATATTTTAAATTTATCATCCTTGATTAAGTAATAAGATGAAGTGAAACCTTTATCAGGATACCCTAATTGAGATAAATCACCATTTAAACCAAACATACCAATGTCAATCAAATCATTTAAAGTTTTGAAATAAACTTTATGATATTCATTATAGAAGTTTGTGAAGCTAGACCATATTTTATCATCATCAATTGAAAGATTAACCTTTGGCAATAAAACATCAGTTAAAAATGATTTTGGGAAACCTGGAATAAATTTAGTATCACCAAATGATTTGTAGTTACCTAAATTCGATAAAAATTGAGAAACATAATCCAAATAATTTTTAACATCCTTTTCAGGTTCATTTGGGTAATCACCATTCAATGATTTGTGGATATATAGAATAAGATCAAAGATCAATTCACTTTCCAATGAAACTTGTCTTAACGTAATTCTGGTACCAAAATGAGAAGCAACCGATAAATAATGAGCATACTTTTGTTCAACATCAGTTAAATCTTTAAAATAACTATCCTTTGAAGATAATAGAATAGAAATTGGTGGTTCAGAGTCTGCAACAAATTTACTCATCCTTAATAATATCCTTTTAATACTTTTTCTATTATATTATATCTACTTTCCCTTGAAACTTCTTTCACAATTTAAATCTTTTGAAATAATTAGACCTTGTTATATTCCCAAAATCCAATTCCAAATTTTGAAATCGAAATAATGCAATTGGTATGATGTGACTCCTATTTATATAACACAACAACCAATTGCCTTGTATTTTATTGTTGATGTAAAAACCAACATGGCTGCATTTCCTTTAATTTAAGCAAAGTTTCGAAATTTCATTGATTATGACGAAATTTCACACACTATCGGCGATTTCAGACGTATTTGATACTAATAAGGAAATATGATGAAGGTACCAAAAGACATCAACTAAATTGACCTTTATAATATAATTCGATGAGTGTGTAGTATATTGTTTTATGTTCAAGATGATTATAATGATTGCATAATTAAAAAAAGTAACAAAAGCTGTCAGTAATGAGATCTATAATGCACGTTTATCAAACTACTTAGTATACAAAAAATTGCTGGCTTTAATTACCAGACTTTTAGTTAATTATCTATATCGGATGCAATATTTGGTTAATGACAAATATTGGGCACTACTAGAGTGTGAGCATCCCCTATGGATGATGGTAAAAAATGGCCTGCCTATGATTTATAATAATAATGGATATTTTTTTTTTGTTTTATCTTATTTTTGTTCTTATTTTTATTTGGTACAATAAAATTAAGAAGAATCCTCACTGTCAGAGTCTTTATCGACAGCAGATCCTAAGGAGTCTAATTCTTCGATCATTTCTGGGATTTTATCCATAGAAACGTTGTTGAAGACAATTTGGTAGACTGCTTCGAATAATGGATAGTCTTCTACCTTGTTACATGTGACTAACCAATCGTGAACTTCTTTACTTGTAATTATACCTTGAGCAGATTGACCATTTAATAATTCGTTTTCACATTCTAGAGCAGTCTTACCAGTCTTAGCCATCATTTTACCGACCTTGACGTTTCTACCACCAGAACAGGTAGTGATCAAATCAGCGACACCGGCGGATTCTTTATAATAAGTTTCGACACTTGATTCAGGGAAAAACATTTGACCAAATTTAATGATTTCACCTAAACCAACACGTTGAATGGCAGCCGCAGCATTGTTACCCCAGCCTAGACCTTCAACGAAACCACAACCTAATGCAACGACATTCTTTAAAGCACCAGCAATAGAAATACCAGCGACATCATCAATTACACTAACGTGGAAGTATGGTCTGTGGAATAAAGCTTTCAATACTTGATGGTCAACATCTTTACCTTTACCACGGAAGTCTTCTGGCATTTGGTAAGCGACAGTAGTTTCAGACCATTTCTTCTTGGCAACTTCCATTGCAATGTTGGCACCAGATAAAGCACCACATTGAATGTTTAATTCGTCAGTAATGAAAGAGGATAATAATTGAACACCTTTATCACCTAATTCGAAACCCTTCAAACATGAAATAGCTCTGACGGTTGGTGGGACATGGCCCTTTAATTGAGAAACAATTCTACTTAAGAATTGGTGAGGAATGTTAAATACCAAAATATCAGCATCTTTGACAGTATCCAATAAATCTGGATTGGCAACTAAGTGAGAAGGTAATCTGATGCCTGGTAAATATTTAACATTTTCATGTCTTGTATTAATAATTTCAGTTAATTTCTCACCTTCAATTTCTTCTTCGAAAACCCACATTTGGACAATTGGGTAGAACAACTTATCATATTGTTTAGCATTTTCAGTAACAACTTTTGCAATTGTAGTACCCCAGTTACCAGAACCAATAACTGCAATCTTAAATGGCTTTTCAGCGACTAATTGTTTCAAAGGATTAAATTTTTTTTGAGTCAATGACATATTCAAATAGCGTGTATAATTTTGAGTGTTGTATACTCTTTTGGTTATGTTAGCAAAAGTTGATGATGATGATAGATTAAGACGATAGGCCTTAATGATGGATGAGACTAACATCCTTAAGTGTACTTATATATGTTTTCAAAATTTTTTAAAAGTTTTTTTATCTCTACTGTCAATTATAAAATTTGAAACGAGGAGAGTGATTTGTTAAGGATTATTTTGATTTATTGATAAAACATGAGTACTAACTAACCTACAATTTAGTTTGGAAAAGTAATAGAATGGATGCTTAATTTACGTATTTTTGATGGGGACACAATTACGAAATGACCCAATGATACCATAATATCGGAAATTGACCCAATGTAGCTGCAAGTGTGAAACGGAATTCAAGAGTGGAAGTTACATTTGGATTCTATTAAATTTTTTTTTTCTTTTTCTTTTTTTTCTTTTGTCTATCTTTGGTTCGAAACCCAGTGACAAATGCCAAATCATTATATTTTGACTCTGCAATTCTGAAGATACTCTACTCTTCCTGGCCATTTACTCTCTAGTTTGGGACTGACCAGCACGAGCACCAGCACCAAAGTAAAGTATAGGAATAAGAAAAAGAGGGCAAAGAACGACGAGCCACGTCAACGAGAGAGAGAGATAGGGACAAAATTCGAGGAATCCGAGCGAAACAAGAAGTCCAGTGCGTGTGTGGGTCAAAAGAGGCATCCAACCATTGTCTTAAATTTAGTGATAATAAAAAGCATTTAGCAGTTATTTTTGTCCCTTCATTATACACAAGATGAGAAAGAAATTGGGACCCAAGAAAGGGAAATTAAGCACTTACGAAACGAACGGTCTATCTATAATGAGGCCAAAAAGACAAAGCCCAAAATTTTGATAGCCCAGATGTGTACCGGAGAGGGAGGGAGAAAGAGAGAGAGGGAGAGATTGATAAGAGGGCATCAAAAGCCAATATCTTGTGACCAACGAAGGGGTAGGGAGGGAGGCAGCAGTATATCTCACGTCAGATAGGACTTGGGCTTCTTCTTGGAGGCAGAGAGGGTGACGACAATAAGGGAAAGAAAATAACTGAGCCCACAATCGCCATCACAGATAAAAAATTCCAATCCACCCACTCGTTCGTTCATTAATTTTCATAATCCGTTATCGTTGTTGCTTGTTGTTGTCGTTGTCGTTGTCGTTGTCGTTGTCTTTCTGTCTTGAAAGTAGATAGCCCAAGAAAGCCCATTTTATTTGGTTCTTGTTCTCTTTGCTGTTCGAAAATAAAAAGAAACGTGTTTTCGAAACGATTAAACCAAAAAAAGAAACGTAGTTAGAAGTCGAGGCACTGGTGCAGCGTTTCTTTTTGAAATTTGAAATTTTGAGAAAGGCAAAAAAAGAAAAAGAGAAAAAAAAGGAAATGCTGGCCCAAAATGACCAAAGAGACAGACAAGCAACACAAACAAGAGGCCCAAAAACACCACGACGACGACGACGAGAACCTGAAGATGTAGGGTAGAGTACGAACGAAGGACACGAGGGGACTAGGCAAGACAAAAAGACAAAGACAAAAATTGTTCATCCAGAGAGGCAGATAGATAAGATATCCTTGTCTGTCACTTTGGCCAAAAAAAAAAAAATAAGAAAGTAAGAAAATAAGAAATCATATGCCAATAAATCAAATCAAATCAAATCAAATCAAATCAAACATCAATTCCAGTTAAAATTAAAAAATTTGGTCATAATATCACAGGCAATTATTGGTAACATCATCAAAGTTGTACATAGGAGCACATCCATAACCATGACAAGTGAGTGGGCGACCATAAAATAGATTTATTTTTTGTCATATGACAGTGCAACTGGTAAATGAAGATATTTACTTGAGGATAAGATAAAACCAACCGGTGGCAGCCCACCAAAAATAAAAATAAATGATTGATCTTTTTGAACTTTGAATTTACAACTTTGTTCAGGTTCAAAGAAGATAAGGAAAAGGATCAAGAGAAAATTATAACAAAGTTTCTTGTTTCCTATACCTGTGTGTTTCCTCTTCCGAGAGCCCTAGTTAACGCAAGTAAATGACACAAACAGATCAATGGCTAGTTTCAAAAATAATCCATTAATCAGTTACTGCTCTGACACAATTCATCTACTGTTTGTTTGCTAGTTGACTGACACCAGAACTTTCTTGAACCCAAGGGTACACTGTCGTCTTAACGAACTCCCCTTGATATATTCTATATATATATTCCATTTTCATATATCTGTAGTTTTTTCCTCCCACATGCTTGAAAGACCTCTTGGAAAGCAATACGTATAAATCGTTTGATAGTTTTGACTTTATTGATTGCTCTTATGATCAACCCATCAATGCCTCCCCCCCCCTCTTCCTTTGCTGTCTCTTGCTCTGCCTCCCCCCTTCCAAAACCACGGTGTTGGCTGCATCTTGTCCTGCTCTTCTCGTGAAGTATCCATCGCTCATAACGATTTCGAAATGATTCCATTCTATGCTGAAACCCAATCACAAACTTCTTCAACGGTTTGAGGATTTTATTTCAAGGGTAGTGATATACCAATAATCTTATTTCATTTCGTTGAAATATTGAAATTTTATTCTGCATTGATCATGACAATGCATCTTAACTAAATAAGTCAAAATAGTCAACTTTTCTACATCTAAGCATACCTAGCCACTTAGCAACTGAGGGATATATACAATAAATATTTACCTTACCAACAGCATTAAAATCTCTGTTTAATTGAATCAGCCTTAACTATTAGGCATATTCTCATCTTTATATTCTCTTATTTCAGCATTATCTTCACATTTATTACCCATTAATATATCACAAAGGCATCTTTCCCTCGAATGCATAGATTGGTATACACTTTATTACCGTTGCTGGTACATACAAATCCAATATTATCTCAAGCTCTGCCGTTGCAACTAATTGCAAATAATAAAGATGATGCTGGGGATTTAATCGAAGAATCTTCAAAATTATACTATTTAATCACTTCAATCTCATTAGTTTTACTAGGTGGTGTTTTTGCAGGCTTAACTTTAGGTCTTATGGGACAAGATGAAATTTATTTAAAAGTTATTTCATCTTCTGGATCACCACAGGAACAAGTCTTAGCCAAAACAGTTTTGAATTTATTGTCAAGGGGGAAACACCAAATTTTAGTTACTTTGCTATTGTCCAACGTCATCACTAATGAAACTTTACCTATTGTATTGGATAGATTGATTGGTGAAGGTGGTGGTTGGAAAGCAATTTTATTTTCAACTATTCTGATTGTTATATTCGGTGAAATTATACCACAGAGTATATGTGTGAAGTATGGTTTACAAATTGGATCGTGGTTATCTCCATTTGTGACTGTTCTGATGTATATACTATGGCCAATTGCCTGGCCTATAGCCAAGTTGTTAGACCATGTCCTTGGTGAGAACCATGGTACGATGTACAAGAAATCTGGATTGAAAACTTTGGTTAATTTACATCAAACCAATGGTATCGAGAGATTAACACAAGATGAAGTCACCATTATTACAGCTGTTTTAGATTTAAAAGATAAATTTGTCATGGAGATTATGACTCCGATCAACAAGGTATTCACATTATCATCAGATACCGTTCTAGATCAATCAAATGTGGATAATATTTACAAAAGTGGCTATTCTAGAATCCCCATCCATTTACCTAACGATCCCACAAACTTTGTAGGGATGTTGCTAGTGAAAATTTTAATTTCTTATGACCCTGAAGATTCCTGGAAAGTTTCACAATTCCCTCTAGCGACATTGCCTGAGACGTTACCCACGACATCATCATTAAACATTTTAAATTATTTCCAACAGGGCAAATCACATATGTGCATAGTTTCGGAAAGCCCAGGGGAACCATTAGGGGCACTTGGTATTGTGACACTGGAAGATGTGATTGAAGAATTAATCGGTGAGGAAATCATTGATGAATCGGATGTAATCGCTGACGAAGATCACACATGCGATGTCCACACCCCACTGCTGAAGAGAAACCTTCCAATCGCAAGTGAAAACAACACCACCACCACCACCCATAGATCAAGTCTTACCGCACCATCATCGTTATCAAAAATCCCATCAAACCTAGCATCGAACCCATTAGATGTTGAAAACTCGTTTGTCAAAATCAAAAGAAACTACCCCATCAAAAGCAGTACCAACAGTAGTAGCAACCACAACCTATCGAATTATAACTCTCATTCAAGTTTGACAACTAATGGATCAAATAAAAACATGGACATAGATAGACCGTCAATACCAATGGCAATGAAAAAAAATAAACAGAATGAAAACACGGTGGAAAACAATAACGGTATAGTGGAATCAGTAATAACAATCAAAGGTGTCCCCAAAACAATTATCCAATCTACAGATTTTAAATTTTCAAAACAAAATAGTTCAACAGATTCAAACATTGATCATTCTCAATCTGATGAAAGCAACTATAGAGAAAGAAGATAGCATTTTTCTCTACAAAAAGAAAATCATATACATTCAAACAAACACATACACACAAACATATATAAATATAAATATAAGTATAAATATAAATATATAACTCTACATGTATCTACAAACCAAACCAAACCATCACTTCATTTACTGACACTTCCACCCCTCTGACGCTGGCCACTGACACTTTACCCCTGGCTGTCTATTCTTTTTCAGGCAATTTAAAGGGAACCAGTAAGAATCGATCCGTTTTTAAAGATCGAAATTAATCAGAAATGGATGAATAAGAAATGTAGAGAGAAAGAGTTTAAAGAAGTTGAAGTTATTGATTTGGTTTGGTTTGGTTTGGTTTGGTTTGTCTATATTTAGATTATTTTTGACTTTTGTTTGCTTTGTTTGTTTTGTTGTGTATTTCTATATCTATCTATCTATCTATCTATATATATACGAGAGACAGCATTGCGTTGTATTGTTATTATTCGAGAGTATAAGGAAACATTTAGGATTTTATCAGTTTTACTTTTGAGAATCTGTTTCAACGTCCATATTCCAAACTGTATCAGCACACATTTACACCCCCCGCACCCCCTTTTGTTCGAATTTAATCATTCTAGTTTGACTCGAAAGGTTTTTATATAAGCAACACTGATTCTAGGAGATATTTTGTCAAATATACCAGATTATATAGAGATTGACACACTTTTGTAAGGGTGAGCGTGAGTTAGAGTGAAAGTGAGAGTGAGAGTGAACGAGATAGTGTTTGGCGCAAGAGTATACACATCATGAAGAAATCATTACAATCGTCGTCCACTTCTCCTCCTCCACAGCAGAAACAAAAATCTTCAACGAGGAGGAGGTTTAAAACCATTTCAAAGTTTTTTAATAGTAGCAGTGAACCAACTAAAAGAACTTTTCATAATCCTTCGAATTATTTCGATAGCACGGATAATAACAGTGATAACAGCCATAACAATGGGACATCCTCGAATTTGGATGCGAAAGCAACCACATCTACTTCCCCATTGAGCTTTTACGACGATGTATCCATTATCAGCACCGCAAGCTCATATGACACTAATATACATCCTGTTCAAGAACTACAGAAACAAATCGAAGATAAACAGAAAAATTCTATAACGGTCCATCAGAAGAAACAAGTCCAGGAATATTCAAAGACTAAAAAATCATTGAGATTGAAAAGATTCTTTAAAAAGGAAATAGTGGGAGCTGAGGTTTCTTCAGACCATGAGGCATCGCTCCAGTCTCAACAACAAGCACAAATACAAGATCTACAACAAAAACATACTAATAATAATAATAACAATAATAATAATGGTGATACTCATCATCATCATCATCATCACCATCACCACCAACACCATGGTCCAGAGGATCATGTCTCTAATGGGATGATGGTAACGACAAATGAAGGTTCACATTCTTTGACTTATAAAACACTATATGAATCTGATAATATTAATGATCTAATAGGCCAGTACGGTACCCCGGTTAAGAAACTAGGTGAAGGTGCTACAGGCTCTGTATCTGTTGTCAAAAATCCAAATAATGGGAAACTATACGCAATTAAACTGTTCACTTTTAAGGGTGACACTCATAATAAATCCAATATAGTCAGCTTTTCTAAAAAAGTGACCACCGAATTCTGTATAGGCTCTACTTTGCACCAACAAAATGTGGTTGAAATCACAGATATGTTACAACAAGAAGAAAATGGTACATTCATGCTGGTAATGGGTTATGAGCCATACGATTTCTTCAATTTGGTTATGAGTGGATTAATGACAATAAACGAAATCAACTGTTATTTCAAGCAATTGTGTAGTGGTGTAAACTATCTGCACTCCATGGGTATAGCACATAGAGATTTAAAATTAGATAATTGTGTGGTAGGTTATCATGGTATTTTAAAAATTATCGATTTCGGAAGTGCTGCAATATTTAAGACACATTTAAATGACCTGAATTTCATGAAAGCGTATGGCATCGTGGGTTCAGACCCTTACTTAGCTCCAGAACTATTAAACAATTACCATGCTTCCATCTCCACCGGTTATTATGATCCAAGACCTGTGGATGTATGGTCAATAGCTATAATATATTACTGTATGATTACGAAGAGATTCCCATGGAAGGCTCCAAGAATGATATATAATTCGTTCAGATTATTTTGTGAACATCCAAGAGTGGCCAAAGATACAACAGTGGGTCCATATAGACTACTGAAGGCCTTGCCCAAAGAATCAAGGAGTTTATTAGGTGAAATGGTACTACTAGATCCAAGAGATCGTATTTTAATTGAACATATAGTCGAAGACCCTTGGTTTGAATCTATAGAGTGTTGTGGAATAGATAAATCAGGCAATCTTCTCAAAGCCCCAGTATCACATAATCATCATTTAGACATCGATAAGGATGATGAAGAAGATGATGACCCAAGTACCGATGATGTTACGATACTCAAAGATTCCAAGAATACATCGAGTAATGGAAGTAGTGGAAAACCAGTTTCAAATCCTGCCGATTCTTCTTTAACTGATAAAATTAGAACTTTAACGACTAATGATTGAATGAACCTTTCCAAGGACACACTTTTTTTAATGAACATATCACCTCTATCACAATTGAATGGAAACTCCCAACACTAGTAAATAATTTTTGTAAATGACACAACTAACATATATGGTTTAACGCTTGCTTTATTGTACAGATACTCATTTCAAAGAGACGAAACTAATATATACGCAAAAATGCACTATAGTATACACATATTCAATAGAATATACAATGATATTTATTTTGTCCAAAAATATTATTGTTTAAAACTTCATAATTTAGTTTAATTTTTTGTAAGTTTACCAACCGTGTTCAAAAAGCATAGAAATAGACTCACCATTATGAATTCTTCTAATTGCTTCACCAAAAACACGAGAAACGTCAATAATATCAACAAAGTCTTTACCTAAGAACTCAATGGTTCTATCTTGTGGAACTGTATTAGAGATGATTAACTTATCAATTGAACTTTGACGGATACGGTTCAATGCATCACCAGAGAAAATACCATGAGTAATTAAAACATACACTTTTGTAGCACCTTGATCTTTCAGTAATTTCGAGGCTCTTGTTATAGTATAAGAAGTATCGACCAAATCATCAACAATAATACAGACTTTATTTCTAACATCACCGACTAACATAGTAGTTTGAATAATTTTTGAAGAGGAAGAAGATTTTCGCATTTCTGGTGTCTTCAATGGAGTTTCTAATTGACGAATTAATGGTTTTGAAGATAATGGTAGGGTACCACCAGAAGTTAAAGTTGCGCCCGGAGGACCCTTTAAAAGTTGAGATCTTCTTTCCTTATGAATCAAGGCAAATGATAACTCCAAAGCATCTGCAATGGCAGTGGCTCTTTTAGCACCACCAGCATCTGGTGAAACTATGACAGCCTCTTTATAATCTGGAATATGATGTTGAATGTAATTTTGAACCAATGGTCTACAGTATAGGTTATCTACAGGGATGCTGAAAAAACCTGGGAATTGTGGATCATGGAGATCCATTGTAATAACATGATCAGCACCAGCCCTTGTTAGTAAATTAGCAATCAAAGTACCTGATTGAGCAACCCACAATTTATAACCAGAATTTTGAGCATTAAATAATTCACCAGCTTCTGGTGCAATCTCCTGGTTCTTCTTACCTGAGATCATTGGAATACGAGAAGAAGAAGGTGTCTTTGTCAATTCACTTTGAGGTACTCTAACAGGTTGAGGATGTTCCAAATGATTTGTCTCTGGCAATCCTTTACCATTTTTATCTAGATTGATACCACTATCTGATCCTGGCTTTCTTGTTAACAAAGAAGATGCAACGGGAGTCCCAGGATGGGATTCAAACGTGTATACTTCCTTTGGCTTTGAAATGATTGGGGCACCCTTTGAAGTATAAGGAATATCAGGCTGTCTTGAATAACAAAAGTATGGCATAACTGCAGTAACTCTCGAAGCAGAAGCCATTTTACAAGCACTAATCAAAATCAGTAATTCCATGAATATATCATTAACATGACCACAACCACTTTGAATTACATAAACGTCCTTTTCACGAACTGACTCACCAACATGAATATTAGTTTCACCATTAGAAAATTTACCTAATGTAACATCTGAAGGATGCACACCTAGATTATCACAAATCAATTTAACCAATTCTGGATGTGAATTACCGCCAAAGATTACAATATCGTCACTCATACTTATTCAGGTCAGCTTTCCTTTCTCTATTCAAAAAATGCTTGTCTCTTAACCTCTTATTCCTAGTAGTTTCTACTACCAACTGGAACCAAATCTAATAAATATCGATAAAATAACACTAAAGATACAATATCCCGCTGACATGAACCTTTCAACAACATATAACTAACTGAAATACTTGAAATATCATCTCTTCTCTTATATAAAGTGAAAAATTTTTGATGATAATTTTTCATCTCATCTCAGCTTGAGGCTTTAAGCAATAAAAATTGATATTTAAACCTTTAAATCCATATGGAATTAACAATGAAGTAATAAAACTGATTGAAAAAGTATGATCCAGATAGGGTTATAGATTGTAGATGGGTATAATTTGATCATGATTAATGGTGTGTTGGTATATACTGGTAAGGGGGAGTTAATCGTTTCTAAATTTTCCAAGAGCAATGCTAAGAGATCAATTAGTGATATTTTTAGAGTACAGGTTATTAATAATTTAGATGTTAGATCTCCTATTTTAACATTGGGTTCTACTACGTTTCATCATATTAGGAGTAATAGTCGAGATCATTTGTGGCTTGTTGCTGTTACCAGGAGCAATGCTAACAGTGGAGCTATTTGGGAATTTTTATATAAATTTGATTCTTTATTAAATGCTTTTGGGTTAGATAATGAAACAACCCTGAAAGAAGAGTTTATGACTTGTTATGAATTATTGGATCTTATGTTGAATGTTGATGGGGTGCCATTGGATACTGAGTTGAGCTCTGTCTCGGCAAAAATGAGTACGAAACCTTTGCACTCGATTAATTCTCCTTCTGATAGTTCCTTAGATAATTCTAGTTCTCCATTATCAATTTCAAAATTTTTAAATAGAAATAATAGATCAATGTCAGTGGATACTATGAATACTGAACCTTCCAATTATCCTTGGAGGCCTAATGGTATTAAATATAAGAAAAATGAAATTTTTCTAAATATTAATGAAAAGATAAGCATTTTAGTATCTAAGGATGAAACTATTTTAAAGGCTTATGTTGATGGTACTGTAGATTTAACTTCACATCTAAGTGGTACACCTACTTGCCAATTTGGATTAAACGACTCCTTGAGTGTTGATGAACCAAATTATTATAATAGCGATGACAATGGTTTTAGAAATCAACAGAATATTCCTAGAGCCACAGCTGGTACTGTTGTTTTGGAAGATTGTAAATTCCATGAATGTGTATCATTGGACAAATTTAATAGAGATAGAATAATAAAGTTCGTTCCTCCAGATGGTCATATTGAATTAATGAAATATCATGTTCGCGATAATATCAACTTACCATTTAAAGTCACTCCAAATGTGATAAATTCACGTAGTAGAACTGGGTTAGATTACAGAATCACCTTGAAGTCGTTATTTCCAAGCAAATTATCAGCTAATGATGTCGTACTTAAGATTCCCGTACCATCTAGTACAGTAGATTGTAAATTAAATGTATCAAATGGTAAATGTAGATTTGTTCCTGAAGAAAGCTGTATTATTTGGAAATTTGCCAAATACAATGGTCTTACTGAAAACAAATTGAGTGCAGTCACCGTGTCATCTAACGATACTACCCAATTGATGCTACAACAATGGGCAAGACCACCTATATCCTTAGATTTTGAGATAATGATGTTTAGTAACTCAGGTTTAGTAGTGAGATACTTGAAAATTATGGAAAAAGACCAAAAATATAGGACTGTTAAGTGGATCAAATATATATCCAGATCTGGATCATATGAAGTAAGGTACTAACTTTACAAAGTTCTTGCATATATTTATTTATTTTATCGACATTTACTCAATCAACCAATCAATTTGGCCTATATAAGATCTTTATATCATCTAAATGTTACATTGCCATAGAATCGATAAAATGTATTCTGAAAATGGCATCATAATCAATTTCCATTTGCAATTGAGTTACTTTATCATTTTGATCTATCCTTTATTTAAATTTCTAGGTTTGGTCCATCAGTTGTTATCAAAGGGTTGATTTCGATGATTTTATTCCAACTTCTATAAGTAAGACAAATTACCTCTATTTATTACTATATACATAAAAGTTGAAGCTTATAAAGGCATATAATTAGCAACAGATATCAGGAACAAAGCATTCATAACAGGTGGTAATAGTTACTCAGGTTTTTAAGATGAGAATTGTTGGTATTCCCAGAACTGGTGCTGGTATGGGTATTTTACCAAAGAGCCCTGTAAAGCCTTTCCAGAATTATGCTGTAATAAGACCTTTAAGTAAACTAATGATACAACAACCCAGGACTAATGTTCCTTTATCGATTCATAATAGAGATACCATAAAGCTAGGATTAATAAGAGATGTGAAGAGAACTAATTGGATAAATACCAGAGGTCCATTGATTTTAAGGAATAATTTCCATCAGGGGAGACCTCTAAGCAATATGTTTAATGATTTTGGTAAACCACCAAAGTTCAGAGTATTTGTAGTGCCCAATTTGATTATTTTAGCTGGGATGACTCTAACTTTTGCATTGTTTTTGATGGTGATACCGATATTATTCAGTTTCTTCTTCCCTCTTTTAATACTATTCATAGGATTTCATCAATTTAAGAGATGGAGAGCAAACAGAATGATAAACAAATGGTTTGATGGATTGAAGAATTCTCATTTGAGAACTAGGATGTCCACTATGTATGCTATTCATACGAAAAATCTAGAAGAAATGTTACATAATGAAGCAAAACAGTTTGGAAGTTATGGTGGAATATTTAATGAAACTTTAAATGCTATGAAAATGAACCCAATGTACAAGAACAGCATTGAATTCAATGAAAGTGGTGAGAAACTAAGAAATTTTATAGAGTACAGGGTTATTGAGGCCATATATAAAAATGAAGAAGGGATAAGAACAACATTATTTCATAACTATGAGAAGGCTTTAGATCCAAATATTGACAAACCTTTTAGACTTGATTTTAATAATGTCAACTCTTTCCAAAGATTTGAAAAAGATGGAAGTTTAATTTCCAGTGTTACATATCCATTATACACTAATTTAAAAGATAAACCAGCTGTGGTAGTAGGTTATGTTTCTATTGTGACCATGAATGATCATCCACTAAGAATCAATTTAGGTTCAGGTGATATCCCTAAGGTTGATTTAAGTAAAAAATTAAAATTCATTATATCTATTAGATCCCCTAGTGAAATGATACCTAACTATTTCATAATTGATACCGTTGGTGAAACTGGTAAAATATTTTCACATTATAGTGTGGGTAAAACAACGGATGGTCATAACGAATATACATTGAATAAATGATACCAGAAAGATCCATGCATTTAATTGTAGATTTGATTAATTGGAGAATGTCAAACTAGTTCACTTTATTGGAACGACTTTTTCTATTTCTATTTTATGTCATTATTAAATTTGAATCAGTCAGGTACCGTCCTTTGAAAAAACTTTAATTATTAAACTCTAAATACTTTAGTATTATATATTCATTTTAAAGGTATAAATTGACCTTGCACTATAATTAACTTCACATCAAATCATAATATATGGTTGATGAAATGTCACTAAGCTAAATCTGACTATATCTTGAATATTTAACATAAAGTTTAAGGAAGATTAATTATGTAGCAATGAGATAAGAGGACATGCACAGGTTTACGAATTATAAAAGGTTGGGTCCCCATTTTTAGGTGATTGCCATCAGAGACCAATTGGATAAAAGACGCATATCTGGCCAATATTATTGTCACGTGAAGGAACATTTCAGTACTATTATTTAGGTAGAGCGGTAGTTTAAGATAAGTTAATAAATCAATTACAAAACATTCAATATCAAATCACCAGAAGTGACAATTTAAGGTTACTTGAGTTCAATAGTACCGAGCTATCAACATTTTTTATTAATAATCGTCTTAAGACCAATCAACAGTTTTAATACTATTTCTTTCAATTTTGAGACATTTAAGCCACTTTCATTTAAATGAACAGGACATTCATAAGAAATATAGAAAGTATTTATTGAACATCACTCAAATAGTAATGAATAGAATACAAGTATGTATATATCTTCGTTAAATACTTTAAGATAAAGTCATAAGCTGTCTCTGAATCATAGTGAGACCTCTTGTATGTCACATGAACTCGAATGTCAATTATTGAACATATATTAAGTCACGTGTATGTATATCGGATGTCTTACTGCCATAGAAATATCGAAAATGATTTAAAGGTTCGATGAGCAAATGAAACCTTTGAATCACATTTAAAGAATGATGAGGAAAGGTTATTAGAACATTCGATTGTCCATTGACCACTTTCCCACAAATGTACTGGTGTGATGTCGGTTTTCAAAGAAGATATTTTTGCTAAATGGTTACTTTCTAGAAGAATCTTTTCAGTACAGGACAAGCCAAGTATTTGCTTCGATTCAAGAGTATTTGGACGTAATGGATCAATTACTTTACCTTCAAATGTTACGGTGAAAACTTATATCAAAGATGATGATTTTGAAGTTGAGAATGAGTATCCTGAACATAATATTAAAGCAATTGAAAAATATTTATCACAGATGAGGTCAGTTAATTTAGAGCCGACACTCTGTAATGAATATGGAGAGCCTTTTGTTGAGATGATTAGAAAGGAGCTGGATGATGTAGAACCAGTATGGACAACATCTGGAATACAGGATCCTGCAACATTACTTTTGCCTAGTTCTGAGAAGCTATACGTTGAAGAATGTGAAGGTAGCATTCCCCTAATAACTGGTTCGTCATTATCGATTATGGGTGTTGAAGGAAAGAATAATTTGCTTTGTACCTATGGAGAATGGGTATTCATCGCTATAGGTGGATTGATTGAGATTTATAATATTAATTTTTTTCTTGACGCCAATTCAAGACCAAAACTTCATCATCAATTTGATTTATTGGAAATAGCAAGTATTACATCTTTCGAGTTTAAGGAACAAATTAGAAGCTCTATTGGAGAAGGCGAATCATTAGATATTAATTATATGAAGATTTCAAAATTCTTTGGAAAAGATTGTATTTGTGCTTGTTTAGATAATGGATATATGTTTATTATCCATATTGAAGAGATGTTGAAGTTACCGAGTATACCCTATGTTTCAAATCGTGATAAAAATTATAAGTTAACTAAGGGATATCCATCTTTTATATACGCGTTTAGAGTTCCTGAAAGCTCATGGAGTGTTGATATTATTGAAACCAACTCTATTACATATATTGCAGTAGGTCATAACAAACCTGGGATTTCTTTATTTGCAATCAACAACCGAATAGGTTTGCAAGATTTTACTGCACATGATGCAAATTCATATGAGATACCCACAATGCATAATGTTCCTAGTTTGAATTTTATAAATGATCATAACTCAACTAGTGACAATAAAGTGACACTGTCATATGTTTCAATTTACGGAAATGCTTCTACACTTCAGATAAATTACGATGATGAGCTCTTAAAATTTAATGTAGATATTATCGATTCCCAATTTCTTGGTGAGTACTGTTGGACAGTAACTCCATTGAAAAAACGAGATTTCAGAAAGGTGACTGAATTCGAATATTTGAATTTAAATTATCAAACAAGTACAAAGAAATCAATTTTATACTCCATTTGTCAAGATAGTGCGATATTTGGATGCAGACCTCCAACATCATATTGTTCAAATTCAATGGGTATTGGTACTCTCACAACTCAGATACCCGTTCCAACTTCAAATCTTGCATTAAGATGTACCAATGGTATTCATACATCTGAGATAAGACTTAATTTACGTCTTTTATGACAGTGGAGATATTTCTTTTGGCACAATAACTGACTCAGAATTTGAAAATTGTACAGGCTACCATTTAAATTATGTTTTATCTCAAAGTAATGCAGCAAAGGCAGGTGAAAGAGTTGTACCTCAATCTAAGGATCCCATCATACATTACTATTTATTTAATGAAGAATCAATTTCTATTCATGCGAATTATGATGAGTTCATTAGAAAATATGATATCTGGTGGAATTCTAAAGATATCATAGGCGATGAGCCTTCCAAAAATTCTATATACAAAAACTATAAATGGACGACCGCTGATGAAGAACTAGCTGAAGGTGGACAGACTGGCACAATTAATCATAGAAGATTAAAAAACTTCAGCAATACCCATTGGAAGGAATCGCTCAAATATAATGGGGATAGAGGAGGTATTGGTAGTATTTTAATTTCGTCAATTTACTTTGATCCTAACTCATTATTAAATTGGAAGGCCTATAACAATTCCAATATCGATTATACAGCCAAGGAGTTGGAAGGTTTTGTAATAGATGATAATGGTGGAGAACGATCGCCAAGTAGTTTATTTGATGACGAAGATGAAATGAAGTACGATGCTCAAAGGCAATGGCAAATTCACAATCATGTTCTTAAAGTTAAAAATTTGCTAAATTTAGTAGAACCAAGTTCTACTTCATCATTAACAGGATTTAAACTCAAAGAATTTGATGATGACTTTCTATTCGTAACCACTAAATCTCATCTTTATCTTTTAAAAATGAATCCTTTGATATTATGTTCATTTACGCCCGATGAGATATTCCCAACTGATGCAGTTAGTCTATGTATATCAACTAGATATTTATCTGTGGTCGACACCATAAAATACGTATGTGTTATTAAAGAACTAAACGCGGTAGTTGTTGCATCATCTATTGGTGCTTTATCAATTCTGAGATTAACAGAATACAATGGTATATATTCATTCAGACAAGAATATATACGTGGATGGGAGCCACAACGGCCAGGATTCCAAAATGAGAACAACAGATGCATGGCCGATTTGATCAGAGGTCAACGTTTAATGGGTAGTTTTTGTCCAGTGGATGACGTATATTTCCCATATTTTAATACTATTGGTATGGATTATTCTTTTATTGAGGTCGACGAGCAAAATAACCTCGAATGTTACGCACTGCTCTTCGTGGCTACTCCGAAAAGAATATTTAGATTTAAAATATCAGAATCGCAATCAATATTCTTAAAGACTTAGTTCTACTGATAAAGTAGAAACAACATTCTCAGGTAGAATGATTAATGTCTGACCAAACCTTCTTGCATGTTGTGGCGTTACCATACATTTTTTTGTATTTGCAATATCGCGATGAGGAAAATGTTAAGAGCAAAAATATTAACAAGAAAGGTACATGAAGAATTTAATTAATTCGAAAGCTTTATATTAAATGGATATGTTATCTGACTTCGGTTATATTTAAGTGGATGCAGTTCATTTAGAATCACCAATTCCTTAAATAGTTGGTTTGGGATTAAAAATAGGGAGACTAAATAAGAAAATAGCATCACAAAATACACTCAATATAGAAATCGGACTATTATATAATTACATTAAAAGGCATATTGTTACAGCTATAATTGATTTGATTATTTTAAGTTTAAAATAAGCAGAAATGTTTAAACGACTATTGAAGAAGAATACCTTGGGAAGGAAAAAGGATACTTCTGGTACTGAATTACTAAAAAATATCGCTGCTTCAGATGGATTGAAAGAAAGCGATGATTTTAATGAAGCCTATAATGTAGCTGACGGATGTGATTTGAATTCTGTTCCTAAGAGCATGCCAGTTAACGACTCTTCTCCTGTTTTTGAAACTATTAATACAAGTGGCGTCCAAAGTTTGGATGAACCTTCATTTATTAATTCAACATTACCAACATCAAAAGTTGATTCGAGTCTGGAAAAATCATTCGCAAGCGAATATACCCATGTTGAGAAGCCAGTCTTTTCTCCAACTAATGAGGAAAATAATTTAGATATAGATATAGACATTCACAAAGTTTACGGTTTGGAAAATTTTGGTAATACTTGCTATTGTAACTCAATTTTACAATGCTTATATAATATGAATGAATTCCGAGAAAATATTTTAGGTTTAACTCCATCAATAGATGCTAAGACTGCTGAAATATCCAGTATTCCAAATGATGAAATGAACAACAGAACAAGTCCAATAGAAGATAATAACGTTGATTCCTCGCATTTGGAAAATGATTATACCTACATGAAATCTAAAGATGAAAACAAAAATACTAGCAACATTCCGGTATCTAAATTTAGAAGACCTTTGAGAATTTCTTCTAATGTAAATGTAAATCCAAATGGAAGATTTCCTGGGTTGAATCTGGATGAGTATTCAGATCTCTCATCTTCTAACGAGCAATTTATAAAAGATGGTGAAATTTTACAGGATACCAATGAAACCATACCCGGAAGAGATGCAGTAAAATCCGATCCTAAGGTTATTGTTGGAAGGTTATTGAAAACTGGTGAGGATAATGGCAATGCACCAAATCTTCCATCATCGTCTGTTTCCGAAAAATCAATTCCTTTACAAAGTAACCAACTGCAAAAATCTGTTACAGCAGAAAGTAACGATACCTTTTCGAATGCAGCAAAAATATTAGAAGATAGAAAGAGAAGAGCATTTAATACAGGACCTGTTGTAAGATTAAAGTATCCGATTAAAATGCCTGAACATAACCTGTTTAAGGGACTTGAGGATATTTTTAGAGCTATAGCAGAAAGTAGAACTTTAACAGGTGTAATATCACCTGGGGGGTTTATGGAAATAGTTAAAAAGGAAAATATCCTCTTTGCTACAGATATGCATCAAGATGCTCATGAATTTTTAAACTTTCTACTAAATGATGTCAGCGATTACTTGGATAAGGCAAATACTGAAAAGAATCCTGATAATACAAGGTCTGGTAATGAAACGAATTTTGTGAATGATATTTTCAAAGGTACAATCACTAATCAAATCAGATGTTTAACTTGCGATACCGTGACGTCTAGATATGAATCATTTTTAGATTTCCCTATAGAAGTTATTGGAGATGAGACAATTGATATTCAGAAGATGATGATAAGTTATCATCAGAAAGAGATGTTGCAAGGAAGTAATAAATTCTATTGTGGAACATGTTTCGAATTACAGGAAGCTGAAAGATTGTTAGGTCTAAAAGAATTACCAAAAACTTTGGCTATACATCTAAAGAGATTTAAATACTCCGATGAACATGGCACAAATGTAAAATTATTTAATAAGATAAAATACCCAATAACATTGAAAGTGTCATCAACTTTTGATGAATCTGTATCAAAAGATTATGAATTAGGTGGATTAGTAGTACATATTGGTATAGGACCACAACACGGTCACTATATTTCCGTTTGTAAAACATCAGATTATGGTTGGCTGCTTTTCGATGATGAAACAGTAGAGTGTATTAGTGAAGATACTGTGTTGAGTTTCGTTGGGGACAGCAATAGTGCAGGCACTGCTTATGTTCTATTTTATAAGGAAATTAATAGTTCAAGAAATGTAGAAAGATCCCAGAATGAACACTTGGAAAACGTAGAAAAGCTTCTAGCATATGATGATTTTATTAGACAAAGAATGGTGGTATCAGCACAGGCAGAAGCAATTGCGGCACAGAATTCTGTTACCGATGTTCCCCAAGATAATAAAAACCTAATAAAACAATCAAAAAGGAAATCCAAACTATTTGGTTTTAAAAGACACTAAATAAAATAATGGATTTGAAACGATGATTTGGAATCATTGATGACAGTATATAGTTAATTTTATAAGACATTGTAATAAAGATTGTTTTAATAATTACTTATGTTATAATTTTAACAGATGACTTTTCGTTTCTAAATGCATTTAAAATTCTAATTAAAGATACAAGGAAACCATACGGGTTTCCTGTTTACTCTCCTAATCTACATAAAATATATCAATAATTTCGTGGGTTGAAACAATTATATTCTTTTAAGCTGGTAATTCTTTGGATTAATCACAAGATGTCTTTGATTAATCATACTGGAGCGTGAGTAAATAAGTAGGAGACCGATTCACCGTTATGTAATCTCCTTATGGCTTCTGCCAAAGTTGGACTGATATCAACTTGATCTACAATATCTAAATCTAAGTCTATTGGTACTGTATTGGTACAAACGATCTTTGATAATCTACTGTTTTTCAATTTTTCTCTAGCAGAACCGGAGAAGATACCATGAGTAACGATTGCAATAACTTCTTCAGCACCGTGATCTAACAAAGTATCACAAGCTTTTACTAAAGTACCACAAGTGTCAGCCATGTCATCGATCAATAAACATGATTTCCCCTTGACATCACCGACCAGGACCATTCTTGAAACTTCGTTTGCCTTTTGTCTTTCCTTATGAATCAAAGCGAAATTTAAATCAAGCTTATCAGCAATAGAGGCTACTCTCTTAGCACCACCAGCATCTGGTGAGACTAGAATTGCGTTTGCTAGATTTGTATGATTTCTAATATAGTTTAATACACTTGGTTCAGCATATAAATTGTCTACTGGAATATGGAAGAACCCTTGAATTTGAGAAGCGTGTAGGTCCATTGTGATGACATGGTCACAGCCTGCAGTTTCCAATAAATTTGCAATCAACTTGGCAGTGATTGGGGCACGCGATTTATCCTTCTTATCTTGTCTTGCATAAGGGAAACTTGGGATAACTGCAGTGATTCTTCTAACAGAAGCAGTTTTACAAGCATGTATCATTATTAACAACTCCATTAGGAAATCGTTAATTTCCTGTTCACCAGTACCAGTTTGAATGATATAAACATCTTCATCTCTAATACTTTCACCGATGGTGACAGAAGTCTCCATATTAGAATATTGGTATACACCCACTTTTGATAATGGGATAGCCAATTTCTTAGATATTAGCTCAGCAAGTTCTGGATGGGAATTCCCAGAGATTAGCTTGATACTATTAGAAGACATATGTTCACCACTACGTAATTTTAAATCGGATTCTTGTAACTGTAATTCTAAATTATGATCCATTCCTTACTGTTGATTCAGTCAGGTCGAAGGACAAATGAATTAACTCTATTTTTTTTTTAATATAATACCAAAAAAAAAAAAAAATTTGTAAAGGTAACCACAACGATTAGCAACTCCGCAGTAATTGACTACTTATTCGAAATCATCAACCTTTAACTTAACAATTCAAATGTTAATAGGTTTCTTTATATACTTTCCATAGAGCTCATCGAGATGATTGCAATTTTTCAATTTGATATTTGAAAAATTTTCAGTCACGTGATATCGATATTTTGTCATTTCCCTTGTTAATCATCCCCATTTCTCCAGTAGTTTAACTCAATACTGTGCCAGCCATCCATCCATCCATGTCTTAAATATAGTTAAAAATGAAATCAAATCAAATCAAAAGGGTAAACCATACAGGAATTGAATCTATTCGATGAGCACCATAAACAGAAGGGTGGTTGTATTATGGTTCAATCAATTGATGATCATCAGTATTCAACAATCTCTGATTTGCTTCAATTGGTGTCGTTTGTAAACCTCTGTCTGTGTCACGTGATTTCGGACAGTGCGTCATTTTAAGAAAGTTTTGAAATCCCAAATATAACTAGAAAGTTGATGAAGTATAAAACAAGAGATTGGATAGATTAAAGTATTTAAAAAGGTGGTAACGAGGTATACTTTTAGTTCCTAACGTTGGTTATCGTTTGCTTTAGTTGTTTAGTTTGGGATTTGTGCGATTGTTGAGCAGTTTAAGGCACATATTTCGTTAAGATAGGGACATAAGCGTACTCTTTCAAGTTACATTAATTTAGTGAAAAAAATATAAATATATAAATATATTTATATATTTTGCAAGGATTATTTTAAAAGACTGATAATACTTTCTCTTTTATTGGATCAGTTGTATTGATATTGGTAGTATAGAGTTTGGTATACGTGGGTTTATTTTGATCGACAGGTGTATTTGGATTGAATAATTTTTTGTAAATTTTTTTTTCTTCTTGTACATTTGGTTTGTGCAACAGCTGTCAGAAAAGTTACGATAATAGGGGAAGACACATAGACATATACAAATATATTCTGATATTATTATAAAGAAAGAGAAAATGGCTACAAAACAAGCACACAAACGTTTGACGAAGGAATATAAGATGATGATGGAGAATCCTACTCCATATATTATTGCTCGACCTAATGAGAGTAATATTTTGGAATGGCACTATGTTATTACAGGCCCTCCAGATTCGCCTTATCATGATGGTCAGTATCATGGTACTTTGACATTTCCAAGTGATTACCCATACAAACCACCTGCTATTAGGATGGTTACGCCGAATGGTCGTTTTAAAGAGAATACCAGGCTTTGTCTTTCGATGAGTGATTACCATCCAGATACGTGGAATCCAGGCTGGTCAGTAGCAACGATACTAAATGGGCTACTAAGTTTCATGACTGGCGACGAACAAACGACAGGATCCATCACCACTACGGAACAACAAAAGAAAATACTGGCTAGGAAATCTATAGAATACAATACTTATCAGAGCATCAGGTTCAAGACAGTTTTCCCAGATATAGTTGAAGAGAACATAAAAGTTATTGAAGAGAAGAAAAATAATCAGAATGAAAAGGAAGACGAGTTGTTAGCAGGAACTAAGAAACAAGAAGACGCAATTGCAAATGCAGCCAAGGAGAAACCGATTTCCTTAGAAGAAATTCTAGATCCAGAAGATCGAATCAGAGCAGAACAGACCCTAAAGGCTATCCAGGAAAAGGGTAATGAAAACAATAATCCACAAGGTAGCTCATCGACTTTATACATCATTATAGCGGTATTCTTATTCTTCCTGGGACTATCGATGAAATAATCAACTGCACAAGAGGGATAAACAAGCTTCAGTTGTATGTGCTCTTTTTATTTTGTTTTAATTTATTTTATTATTTTTTTTGGAAACCTTTATATTAAAACCTAAAGCTGATATCTCCTTAGAACAATGAAGAATGGAAACAATTATAGCGCTTAATAACAACGGGAATGGGATACTAACACTGAGCCACGAACACAAATAAAATAGTTTTTGTACCTTTTTTATTACATTTCTTATATGTTACATAGAATATATGTATATATGAATACAAAGGTATGTAAGTATAATAATAACGATAATAATAAGTATACCCTTTAAAAGACAACCTAGTAGTAACCCAGTAACTCTATAGTAATGACCCAATATAATGAATAATGACAGACGGACCCAGTCCAGTATGAAAATTAATGTACATTTGTCCTTGCTCTTCTTTTCCTTCCCCCACTTCTTGCAATATTGTTTTCTTATTTATACATGTATATGTGTATCTAACTATATTAAGCAGCTACAGCGATAGGTTCAGGAGGTTGTGAACCAGCTTCCTCGTAATATTCAGTCAAATCATCCTTATCAAAAATAACTTGAATCATCAAGGAACAACTAGGACATACAGCCACATCATCGCCATCGTACAGATCATCAATAAATACTTGGAATCTATCACCACAGGGACATGGATAAGAAAATATCTGTGTGTCTGGATCAAAAGTCATGTCCTCAATTTCAATTTGATCATAAGTAGACATCGCTGGCGATTAAATGATAAGAAAGTAACAGTCAAGCAATGACGAGAACTTGGATATACCCGATATGTGGTTTATGTAGTTTTTACAAGAACACTATACCCATATTTTCTATATATTCAATATAAAATAGTAATATCAACCTTTTATAATAGTTAATAAGTCTTCGAGATGAGATGACGAATTTTCTTCATCTTCTTGGTTCTTTAATTTTCTTTTTTCTTTTTGGCAACAATAATCATGTGATCTGTATGTGACTGTTACACCCAGACATTTATCGAATGGTGGAGTATTTTTATTCTTTTTTTCGTCAAACTTTTATTTTTCAGATTTTTCAATTTTTTCCAGATTTTTTCAAATGTTGGATTCTGTTTCATTTGGAACGCGACTTGGACAAAGTGACGGCGCGCGACGGGAAGGATAGGTAAACTAGACGTTGCGTCTAGTAAGAACCTGTGAACTGTTTAGGCAGAGGAGAGAAGCTCCCTCTAGGCAGAACTGCTCCTTCAGGCAGTCGCCAACGGGTTGGCAAAAGATCAGATAGCAAGCCCGAAGATGAAGAGAACGAGATGAATACGGGCGGAACCCAGATGCACGCACGCACGCAGACGCACTCACCACTATATTCCAAATTTCACTATCGCTGCTGTTTTGAAACTTTTTCACTGAATGTGCAGCTTAACTACTGTATCGAACAGTAGGCCAATGGTAAAACCTATTACACTCAATCATCCAAACCAACCAAACTAATGCTTCATATCGCAAGAGACAAACACAACTTTGTATCGTAATCTGTAAAATTGTTTAATATTGCAATTTGCCAATTGTCTAATCTTCTCTCATTGATGTAACTTCTTCTTCCAAAGCCCACCATTTCATTCAGTTACTTGCCAACTATCCCATCTCTCACCTCTCTCTCTCTCTTTCTCTCTCTCTCTCTCTATTGGTATGCTGTTGTATTGGTGGGACTCTCAGGTCTTCTTCTGTTGGTGCCAGAGAGAGGAAGATAGTTTGTGATGCTGATGCTGATGGGTTTTGCCAAAAACTCTTTACTCTTTCTAAACATAATCTTTTCTTTGATAGTAACAAAGTATTAATTTTTACTATATTATTATAATCTGAAATTTGATATATATAAAATAGTTTTGTTGTAGTATCAAGGTTTTTCTTGTATATTGGAAGTATAAAGAAGACCAAGGGTTAAAAGTTATATCAATAAGAATACACAATGGGTATTTCTCGTGATTCTCGTCATAAAAGATCCGCCACTGGTGCCAAGAGAGCTCAATTCAGAAAGAAGAGAAAGTTCGAATTAGGTAGACAAGCTGCTAACACTAAGATTGGTACCAAGAGAATTCACTCTGTCAGAACTAGAGGTGGTAACCAAAAGTTCAGAGCTTTGAGAATTGAAACTGGTAACTTTTCATGGGCTTCTGAAGGTGTTGCCAAGAAGACCAGAGTTGTAGGTGTCGTCTACCACCCTTCCAACAATGAATTAGTTAGAACCAACACTTTAACTAAGGCTGCTATTGTTCAAATCGATGCTACTCCATTCAAACAATGGTACGAAGCTCATTACGGTCAAACTTTAGGTAAGAAGAAGAACGCTAAGGCTGCTGAAGAAGAAGTCGTCAACAAGTCTAAGAACGCTGAAAGAAAGTGGGCTTCCAGAGCTGCTTCCGCCAAGATTGAACAAGCTGTTGAATCTCAATTCGGTGCTGGTAGATTATACGCTTGTATTTCTTCCAGACCAGGTCAATCCGGTAGATGTGATGGTTACATTCTAGAAGGTGATGAATTAGCTTTCTACTTGAGAAGAATGACCGCTAAGAAATAAGTTAAGAGTTAATATAGTCTTACATATTTTACTACATATTAAATTTAAAATTTAAATTAAATCTTTTCAATATAATAAATACAATAGTTGTACTTAAACAAAGAGCAGATGAGACAATGAGATAGATGGAAGGTACCTGAGTTTATTGTACTAGATATACTTTGAAACAGGACGATCGAGTGGGATAGATATAGGAGCTCAAGAGGAAAAAGGATAAGAAGTGAATAAGAAAAGAAAGCCAAGACATAATATAAATATATAATCAGTAAAAAGGCAATATCGTTTATCTGCAAAACCAAAAGGTTCAGTACAGGTCTGTGTTAAAATATTTTTTCATCATGATATATATAAATAAAAATAATGGGAGGGTGAGGGGTTAGTGGACAGTACAAATTTTAAGATTGTTAAACCATATTGTTTTTTGTATGGGCCTGTCATCTAAGGTATGTCTTGTATAATCGACGGATACAATCAAAACATATCATAAAACATAGTCCATACACAAAAACTAGCGTGACAGATTTCTTTTACACATGCAGACATGTGTAGTGCATGCGATACATGTAAAGATATGAAATTATCACTGTTATAGTCACAATTGCTACCACAATTAGATATATATATATATTTATATTTCATTGTAAACAATACCACAAGTAAGAGAAGAGATAGATATAGAATGGATGATCTGGATGTCCTTTATATACTTTTCCAAAATCTGTGAAAACCGAAATCAAAAAAGAGAGAAAGAGTGAAAAAAAATTAAAAGAACGGTGCATGTGTCCGTATCCAGTGATTAATATGTATGATCGTTTGGTACGTGCCATACGATTTCGAAACTATTGGAAAGTTAGGGCATTTTGGCATTTTGTTGTTTTTTAGTTGGTAGCGCCTTGTGATTGTTTGTTTGTGGAACCAAAGTAGAATAAAAAAAAGGACGGTCTTTGTAGAGTCAAGTAGACTAGGCCAGACTAGCAGGTGTTACTTGCATCGAGAGCAGATGGAACCAACACGAATGTGCAATTCAACGCAACAAAGATCAACTATATGAACAGATTGAGCCAATCATCCCTCTTTCAAGTCAATGATTGAAAGAGGTACCGTGGGGGGGCAGAGCCAGAGCCAGAGCCAGAGCCAAGCTCTTTTCGCATATTTAGCCGCCAATGTGCTAGTCAGTGTCGCCGTCAAAACACGACAGCGGCAAGACGTTTCAATCTTAATTCTGCCTCGTTTCGTTTCCTTCTAGAAGCTTCTAGAAACAAACCAGACACTGGCACATGCTGAAAAAGTGTGAGTGTGAGTAATATGGGGTGCACCGGTTGTGGCATCTCCATCTGCCACACAAGGCTCTCTCTGTCTCTCGTTCCCTCCCCTAATTTCTTCTTTTGTCCCCCATTGGGCAATACCCGAAAGCGGCGGTACAAGGACTGGCACTAACACTAACACTACACATAGTGATAATGGTGATGAAATAAGGGGAGCAAACTGTGCATTGAAAAGGATTGTCCTGTTGCGTTCTCATCGTCGTTTAATTCTGGTCGTTGTTGTCCTTTCGACACCTTTTTGTAAACATATATAAACCCTCATCGATATCGCCCAACTTATACCTTAAACTGATTCAATCCTTTCCGTTTGGCTTTGGTATTTTCTCTTTGTCTTCGTCTTGGCGGCTAATGTAAATAGAATAAAATTAGTACGGGAATAAGAGGAAGAATTACCAGTAACTGGGTTTGTTTTCTTTTCTTTTGTTTTCTTTTCTTTTTGTATGGGCGGCTAATTACACCAAAAATTTATTTTCATTTTAAAAAAAGAAAGAAAGGTAGAACAGATATATAAATAAATGTCAAAAGCAGTGGGTATAGATTTGGGTACTACCTACTCCTGTGTTGCGCATTTTGCAAATGACCGTGTCGAGATTATTGCCAACGATCAAGGTAATAGAACTACTCCTTCATATGTGGCCTTCACAGACACAGAAAGGTTGATTGGAGATGCGGCAAAGAACCAAGCTGCAATCAACCCACACAATACTGTTTTCGATGCAAAAAGATTGATCGGAAGAAAATTTAATGATCAAGAAGTAATAAACGACGCAAAGCATTTCCCTTTTAAAATTATAGATAAAGAAGGGAAACCTGCCATTCAAGTCCAATTCAAAGGTGAAACTAAAACATTCACCCCTGAAGAAATTTCATCAATGGTATTAACTAAAATGAAAGAAACAGCAGAAGGTTTCTTGGGGGCAAAAGTAAACGACGCCGTCGTCACTGTCCCCGCTTATTTCAATGATTCTCAAAGACAAGCTACAAAAGATGCAGGTACCATTGCAGGTTTGAACGTCTTGAGAATTATTAATGAACCTACCGCGGCTGCAATTGCTTACGGTTTAGATAAAAAGGGAAGAACTGAACATAACGTTCTAATCTTCGACTTGGGTGGCGGTACCTTCGACGTTTCCTTGTTGTCAATCGACGAAGGGGTTTTCGAAGTAAAGGCAACTGCTGGTGATACCCACTTGGGTGGTGAAGACTTCGACAATAGATTGGTAAACCATCTAGCCGACGAATTTAAAAGGAAAAATAAAAAAGACTTGACCTCAAATCAAAGAGCTTTACGTAGACTACGTACCGCAGCTGAAAGAGCTAAAAGAGCACTTTCCTCCTCAGCTCAAACTTCAATTGAAATAGACTCTCTTTTTGAAGGTGTAGATTTTTATACCTCCATTACAAGAGCAAGATTCGAAGAATTATGCGCAGATATGTTCAGATCAACGCTGGATCCAGTCGAAAGAGTATTGGCAGATTCAAAGTTAGACAAATCCCAGATAGATGAAATCGTGCTAGTAGGCGGCTCTACAAGAATCCCTAAAATTCAAAAACTAGTCTCCGACTTCTTTAATGGCAAACAGCCAAACAAGTCAATTAATCCAGATGAAGCAGTTGCTTATGGTGCTGCTGTACAAGCTGCTATCTTAACTGGTGATACTTCTTCAAAGACTCAAGACCTGCTATTGTTGGACGTCGCTCCATTGTCTTTGGGTATTGAAACTGCAGGTGGTATCATGACAAAGCTGATCCCAAGAAATTCTACTATTCCAATTAAAAAATCTGAAACCTTCTCTACCTATGCAGATAATCAACCTGGGGTTCTAATTCAAGTGTTCGAAGGTGAAAGAACAAGGACAAAGGATAATAACTTGCTAGGGAAATTTGACTTAACAGGTATCCCTCCAGCACCAAGAGGTGTCCCACAAATAGAAGTTACCTTCGACATTGATGCAAATGGTATCCTAAACGTCTCTGCTATTGAAAAAGGTACCGGTAAATCAAATAAAATTACAATCACAAATGACAAGGGTAGATTATCAAAAGAAGATATTGATAGAATGGTGTCAGATGCAGAAAAATTCAAAGCTGAAGACGATGCAGAGGCTGACCGTGTGCAAGCAAAAAATCAATTGGAATCATATGCTTTCTCTTTGAAAAATGCAATTGCAGAATCCTCATTTAAAGAAAAAGTTGGTGATGAAGATGCTTCGAAATTGGACTCCATTGCTACTGAAGTTATATCTTGGTTAGATGCATCTCAAGCAGCTTCCACTGATGAATATAAAGAAAGGCAAAAGGAATTAGAGAGTGTAGCAAATCCAATAATGTCCAAGTTCTATGGAGCTGGTGGAGCTGGTGCTGGTGGTCCAGGTGGTGGTATGCCAGGCGGACCTGGTGCTGGCGCTGGCGCCGGCGCCGGTTCAGAAGGACCAACCGTAGAAGAAGTCGACTGATCTAGTAACTTATTGATACCTTTATTTTCTTTTCTATTATTACATAAGATTTGTATATTCTTGATTAATGTGTTTTTTATGTTTTATTATGGTGTATTCCTGTTACTCTATTATATATTTTCAATTTTATGTTTACATCATAAGATTATTGTTTTGTGTTGAAGGTGACTCTTTCAAACATGTTTCGCTTCAAAAATAATTCTTGAACAAACTTCCTCAAAATTTTAATGCAGTCTGAAAAGAATAACTAAATGTAATTAAATATATAAAAAATAATTGATTGAAATTAATACTAATATTACACAATATTATTTAAATGCTATCACCTGTACGTTTCATGTATTTTTCAATAGGGTCAGTGCCAATGCTGTATGCAGTCATAGAAGAAATATCTTCATAACTTATTATTTCTCTTAGTTTACGATCGGATTGGTACCATTCTTTAATTAACCAAATCATTTCATTATTGTAAACCTCTTTTAATTCTGTTGAGGTTTCAATCAAATCACGTAAGATATAATAAAATTTGTTGTATGAAATACCGGCATTAATGAAAATTGATGCAATTGATCCAGGTTTAATATGTTCCTTTGGTAATAATTCGTGGAAATATGAACTTATCATTGGGAATAATTCTGATACTGGGAAGACAAATTCAGAAACATGAACATTTCTACCAACTTTGATTACTACGCTAGATAGCAAATTGATGAAGTTAATAGAATCTTCTAGTTTACCTCCACCATTTAATTCATTCTTAAATGATCCAAACAAATTTTCCCAAGTTGACATGATTTCTTCATGATTTCTAAAGTCTGAAACCTTAAAAATTGTTAAACAAACTTCATAGTATCCTAGTGGCACTGCAAAATCGTTAAATAAATCGTTAACAGGTAAAAATTTACCGTCCAATTGTTTGATCAAGTCTGCAGAAACCGATGTTTCAATTCTACTATCGGTAGTGACCAATGATAAAATATCATCTTGAACTGAAGCAACATCAAATATCTCTTGAATTTTACCAGCTAATTGCATCATGTTTTGTTTTTGATTTGGTGGACAGACACTGTTACAGAAACCATTAGCACGAGACAGTAATTCAATTCTATCACCTAACTTAATTTCAAAATCAGACAAGGCCAAAGAGTAAAGAATACTTGCTGCACTTAAGAAGTCAGATCTCTTAGAGTGATAGACCCATAATAAGTTCGAAATCTTCAATGAATTTTGGGATTTTTCTTGCAAGTATGGCAAAACATATTCTGTATCCAATTGTAGTAACTTTTCTTCTTGATTTTGGGTAACTAACCAGTCGTATAATTGATAGTGGAACAACTTATCCTTATAACCAAAGGCGCATGTATAACTTTCTTCTCTTAAAGTAGACCATTCATTTGAAACAACAGCATTAGTGTTATTAGATGTATGGGTAGCTGCTAATTGGTCCACTTTAATCAGAGTTTCAAAAACCATATCATAAATAACCAAACGCTTTTCATACATTTTCTTTCTATCATCATTTTCCATACATCCATGTGCAACATATTGATAAGCTAAATTACCTTTATCCATTGAGTTTGCCATATTTAATAAAAATTCAATTGTTTTTGGGAAATATTTCAAATCTAGCATAATGGCAACGGCTTCCTTTAACTTTTCCATAGAGATATCGTCGACAATTTTTTCAAATAATCTAATTGCGTTTGTCAAATGATAACTCAATGATTCGTAATCTTTAACACCAATTTCCTTTGCTTTTCTCAAGTGTTCAACTGCTCTGAACCCAAGAATATCACTACTAGAACAGAATGAACCACAACGTTCTTGTAGAGCTGTTGCGGTATACTCTATAGAGGCACCTCTGGTAATATTTCTGTTTATAATTGATGATAAAATTTCTCTTATTAACGACTTTGTCTTATCATTAGGAGCAAATAATTCCTTAAATCTTAAGCCGACTAAATTTTGTTGAACATCAGTATTCAGATATTTAATAATATCAGTAAACCCAACGTATTGATTATCATAACCATCGACTTCACTTTCTTCATATAGGACCTTCAAAAATGATAATGATTCTTTAATTGACTGAACCAATTTTATCATTGCACTAATAGCAGTATTTTCGGCTTGATATGCAACACCTTCTGATTTATCAGTGGCTCTATTTCCAGAGGAACTACCTGGTAAAGATGGCGTGTAAACAGTGCTAATAGAGCTGCCATAAATGTTAAAAAATTCATTTAAAATGGAAATTGAAGATAAATAATAGTCAACATCTGATTTAGAAATAGTGACACCGGTAATAGGTGTTGAAATTTGTCTGTTTTGTGTTGAATCAAAAGAAGTGGCCTGTTTAGAGTTGTTTTTAGTTACGAAAATTTGTTTTTCCCAAATATCTCTGAATAATCTTGAAATCAACAAAGCAATACCATAAAATCTTGGGGACAAAAATACATCATCCAAACTAAAGTTAGTTGTAGATGAAGTCTTACTAGGAGGATAGATACCAGCCATTGTTTTTTGAGGAGTTGCAACAATAGGCTTTCCCAATAGTGAAGAAACTGCAGATGACGCATATCGATTGTATTTTGGTTTAATTTCAACAATACCTGGGATACCAACAAAGAAGAATGTAAGTGCAGCAGACCTTAATTGATCAGGTTTATTTGACTTACAAGCCACATATAGGGCAGTAGAGCAAGCTTCTGATAAACCATAATTAACTAAGAATGGCAATGGATTATCAATCAATGATTCAAAAATTTCGTCTGGACTTCTATATCTATAAATTTCAATTGCTGTGTTTGTTAATACAGCGATTCTCAAATTTTCAACAGTATATTGAGTAGCAAAAACATTTGCATAACCTTCTTGCTTCATGGTAGCATTGAATGACGCAGTCAATGGAATGACCTGTTTTACAGGACCAGTTGTATCCAAAAATGTGGCATTTTCAATATACTTACCATGCTGCTTTAAGACACCATAATCTGGGACAGAAACAAACAACTTATTTTGAATTTGATTTATATGTCCAGAGTTATTATTAGTTGTGGTATTATTATTCTTTTTATCTTGTTCTGGAGTCTTTACAATAGAGGAAAAGAATATACCTGGTGATATAATTGTGCTTGCCTTTGTTGTTTCTAACAATACTGATGATTTTTTTTGGAATCTTAATAAAACAGATTCTGATGAAGTTAATGCAGAGTAAAATGGTAGACTTTTCTTTTGTTGTTCAAGTTGTTCCTTTTGCAATTCTTGTTGAATAACTTGTGGAGTTACCGAACTAGGTGGAAATTTAATTGATTCTAATCTAATTGCTTCAATACTTGATCTACCTATGGACCCATTGAAGTATAGACGAACACCACCGATCGTTATAGCAACAAAGAATAAGTTGTTATTTTCTTGTTGAGATACCAATACAATTTTAGAGATCTTCAAATATTTATTTGCCAAAATAGCAGCACCTCTAGCGGTGGTAGTACCGATAATTCTTTTGATATAAGCTGGTTCAATGGACATTGGACCCACTAACGAGTTGTTAGATATTAGATAAGCTCTTATAATGGATTTTGAAGATAAAGAGTAAATAATACCTCTTGATTGATCAATGGCTAATTGCATAATAGTTTCTTGAGAGTACTTTGAATCCTCTTCGAATAAAGATTGTACATAACTGCTTCCAGGAATTTTTGATAACATATTTGTTGGTAATAAACTTGATAATGCAGATTGGGTCATACAAACCTTAGTACATTTACTATTATACCAATCATCTGAGCCCGAATATTGTAGCTCCCAGATATTGATGCCGTTTGTTTTCCCAGCAAAGAAAATTTGACCTGTTCTATCGTAAGTAACAACGTCAAATACTTCTAAGCCATGTACTGAAACAGACATCGATGTGTTATAAATGCTTAACTCATTATTTTTGTTATTATAAGAGATAGCGAATATGAAGATATCGAATGGAGTAACCACGATTAATAAATGTTTAATATAATCCACAAATGTATCTTTTTTAGGCTTTACCAATGCGACGTGTAAAATAGTATGCTTAATTTCATCAATTGTCTGATAATCTGTACTGTCTTGATAATTCCACAAGATCAATTTATTATCTATAGTGATCCAACAACGGTTTATCTCTGGGAAAATACCTGTATCATTTTTAATTTCTGTTTTCGAAGCTTCTTTTAAAATTTCATCAGGAACATTAATTACTTGTTGTCTTTCAAAAGGTGTAAAAGCACCTAAACCTCCCACCTCTTTAGTAAAATTATAATTGACACCATTGTTGTAATAGGATCTTTCATCCAAGACTGGGGAATTAGAATCCTTTCTCTCTAAATAATCAATATATTGAGAAGCCAAGTCTAAAGGTTTCATACTATCCATTCCCGTCATTTTCAAATGATCTGTAGACACGTTAAAATCAACAGCTAATCCATTATACAACTGGTTTCCCAATATACCATTGCCATTGCTGGTAACAGCATCCGAATCACCAAGAGCATTTCCTGCATCATTTGTATTCACCATGCTCCCATTCAAAGTACCTGTTAGCAAACCTTCTGCAGTACCTCCATTTCCAGTTAAAGTCCTATAAACAGTACCACTATTGTAGTCAACCCTATTCTTCAACGGAGTAGAATACATCCTATATAATATGTTAAATTGTATTCTGCTACCTCTCTTGGACCAATTTGTTGCCTTCCTAAACAGATATTTAAATCAATTCGATAATATAGTTTATTTATCTATTCTTGATCAAAGTTATTAGGATGAGATGGATATCTCTTTCTTTTGAGCAAAAATAATAAAAATTATCGCTTTCTGAACTGATAAAAACACACAACAAATGTTAACAAACCGTTCAACAAGCAGCCAATTCCTTAATACGGTCGATAAATCCTGTTTATGTGGCTCTTATTGACCTTTAATTGAAGGTTAAACCTCTTAAATCACATCTCTTTATTATGGTAACTTAAATTCTTAATTTTTCAATTTTTTGGTCGATTTTTCAAATTTTAACGAAGAAAAATAAAAAGAAACGCCAAAATCCGGGTAAACACAGTAACAGCACGTGATACAACGACACGACTATTTGTCCCAATTGGAATTAGGACATTTTTGTAAATGCTTTTTGAAGTTTTCCAAGAATGTCCCATTATGTCCTAAGTTGTCCTGGTTGTTCTCAAAAGTTAGGACATTTTTGAAAAATATCAGAGATATATAGAGACACAGATGGATGTTCTTGAATCATCATTTAAAAGTAGTTTCAATTGAGAATGGTTGACCAAAACTTGTCAATCTAGTTATATGACCCATATAACAGATTAGATCCATATTAGATATTGAGTATTAGTGGTGTTAGACCCCAGTTTGTGTATGATTTCTGGATAAATTTATGGGGAAGAAGGTGTTATGTTAAAAGTTTCAAAAAGGTATTACGGATTCCAATCTAAATCGCCATTTCAATTGCTACCAGACTTTAGATTAAAATGTGGACTGGAGATCCACACTCAATTGAATACTAAGTTTAAATTGTTTTCATTCTCTACGAACGATCCGTTCCATTCTATTGATTCCCCAAATTCTAATGTTTCATTCTTTGATGCTGCATTACCTGGTACCCAACCTATTTTAAATTATGAAGCTGTAATTGATGCAATCAAATTGTCATTAGCATTAAATTGTGATATTAATGCGAATTCACAGTTCGATAGAAAACACTATTTTTATGGAGACCAGCCTTTAGGTTATCAAATAACTCAACATTATTCACCGATATCTTCAAATGGTAAATTATCATTATTTGAAAATATAGATAATATTGATCAATCTCAGAAGGATATAGGAATCATTCAACTTCAGATCGAACAAGATACTGGTAAATCTATGTATGATGATTCAAAGCATTTTACTCGTATTGACCTGAATAGATCAAACGTACCTTTGATTGAAATGGTTACGAAACCTGATTTTACAGATTTAAAACAAGTACGTTCATTTATTAAAAAATATCAAAACTTAGTTCGCCATCTAAAGATATCTTCTGGTGATCTTGAGACTGGTGCAATGCGTGTAGATGTGAACTTATCAATTAATGATTATGCAAGAGTTGAATTAAAAAATTTACCAAATACAAGTTCCATAGTGAATGCGATCAAATATGAATATAATAGGCAAGTTGAGATAATTAAGAATGGAAGCGCTGACGAATTGCTTACTTCTCCTGAAACAAGAAGTTGGACAGGTGTGAAAACTGTGAAATTAAGAAGTAAAGAAACAACAATTGATTACAGATATTTACCAGATCCCGAATTACCCAGGGTCATCCTTGATAATGATGTCATTACAAATATATCCAATAGTATACCAACTTTACCGGATGAATTACTCTCAAGATTGATATCAAAGCCTTACAATTTATCAATGAAGGATGCTAAAATTTTAGTATTGAATAGTAACGGCCAAAATGAAATGTACACTCAGGAAGAATTACAAAATTTTTATTTGAAAGTATTTGACTGTTATTACAATGTAGTTGGTGAAAAACTAAATCATAAATTGCCTGTGAATTGGATCATTCATGAATTGATAGGTAGCTTGAATAAACTTGAGTTACCATTATCTAAGGTTCTACCTAAATTGTCACCAGAGAAATTTTCAGAATTTATAGTCCTAATACACAATAAGGAAATATCAAATACTAGTGCCAAACTATTACTTTTCCATGTTCTAAATCAAATTAAAGAAAATGATCATTCTATTAGGGAAATAAACTTTGATTCTTTAATTGAAGAATTTGAATTAAAACCAGCAACGAATGCTAGTAAAGTTGACCTTACTGAATTATGTCAAACAATAATTACAGAATTAAATAATGAAAAATTGTTGAACGATATTATATCTGGTAAAAAGAAGAATTCAATACAATATTTGGTTGGGTTAGGTATGAGAGCATCACAAGGGACATTGTCACCTCAATCCCTAGAAGAAACATTTAAAAAAATATTACAAGTGAAATGGTAATTATATATACATATAAATATTCACAGATTCATGTAAATAGAGTAATAAAATTGCATAGATATTTAATGATAAATCTTATTGTTACAAATTAAGATACGGTTCCAATATTGTTGCTTATTCTATGAGTTTAAATACAACTATATATAAATGTATATATAAGTAAGATGCAAAGCGTTCGATAAAGTGACAAGACCAAATCCAATATATTATTAATGCAGTTGACAAATTGAATCATGAGTTGATCATTTCGACGATAATTTTAAAAGAACGTCATCAGCTTAGCTTCTTATTTTTGTTTTTCTCTAACTTCAGCGTCTGTTGTAGGATGTATTCTGATAACGTTTGGATAATCTTGTCTATTACCAGTGTAACCCCTACTCCAGTCGTAACTAATAGCATAGGCTAATAAACTACCTTGTCTATTGAAGTTACAAATAGGAATAGAACCATTTTGAGCTGGGTATCCCTTTAATCTATGTCTTTGATTTTTATCCCAGAAATGGAAAGAACCATCACTACCTGCTGAAACAAAAGTACCATATCCTGGATGAAACGATATACTATTCACAGCATATACACTCGCTTGAGAAGAGGATCCCACTGATCTATTTGTCTTTGTTTGACGATGACATTTGAAAGAAAAACCTAATTTACGTTGCTGTTCTTCATCAACATATCTAATCGCTATCCTACCTTCCACAGAACCGATAGCATAACCATCACCGGAATTATAACATGCCACAGTTCTTGTTTGCATCTTTAATGGGGATTGTACTGTCTTAAATATTGTAGTTGGATTAGTCAAATTTATTACGACAATATTTCTTTCCGCAGTTCCAACGACTAGTAATTGTTGTTTACTATCCATGGCATACACTCTATCTGGCATCATCACAGTAGATATAGGTTGAGGTTGTCTTAAATCCCAATATTTCAAAGTTTTATCCCAAGATCCAGTTACTAAACATTCTGCATTAGTTGGACCACATTGAACAAACCTTAAAGATTGAACCGCAGAATCATGACTACCAACCTGTTGGTTTTGACCACTATTCAAATCATAAACTTTAACCACATTATCACAACCACCAGAGGCAACTTTAGTACCGTCAAATGACCATCTTGTACATAAAACTGGTGCACTATGTTCATATTGCGCTTTCCCTTGTGGATTACCACCTTGAATATCCCAAATACGAACTTTATTATCCCAAGAACTTGCACTGAATAAAAAATCTTGCTGTGGTGAAAATGCAATGTCAGAAATCGAATCATCTGCTGGATTATTGATTATTATATCATTTGCTAAATCCGCATCTGTTGCTATAGTTGAAGTCCCAGCTGTCTTCGACGATGAGAAAAAAGAAGCCATTATATTACAATTCCCTATTAGATTAAAAGTGCTTGCTCTATATAGATCATTCCAATGCCCCTCAATCCTTCAAGAAACTAAACTTCTTGATCACCTCATCTCTTCTTTCCAATACTTTAAATGGTTAAATTAAAACTTATTTCAAATATTTTAGATGCTTTGCTATTTTAAAAAATGCTGGTCGTATAGTATGACTGATAATTCAAAATGTGATGACAATGAGAAGGTTCAGCTTAGTTTAGTTCGATAATTGATAGAATGGTCATGATATATATTTACAAATAACTGGCAATGAAGTTAGATTTTGGGAGAATCCATAGATCTTACCAGTTCCTTATAATTAATCTTTTTGCTTTGTTTTTGAAGGTGAAAAAAAAACAAAATAAAATAATGGGCAATATCTATTGCCAGTTCATAAAATTGAAATATTGTTTGCTCCCATCTAGGATATCCAAATCAAAGTTTTCTGTGATTGAATCTGGTGCTTCGCCATTGTTGTCCTTTGAATCTGTAGTGTTAGTTGTTGCTGTTGTTGATTTCTTATTCTTGTCATCAGGAATGGCGTTATCTAAAATATCGTCCATGTTGCCCATTCCTAACAAGTCTAAGGAATTGCTACCAACGAACTGATAAGAGGAATCAATCATTATAGGATCATTGCTGGCATTCAGTTTTAATTCATTTCCAAATGTAGGATCTGCCACATTATTATTGCCTTTTGTTGCACTGTTTACATTTATAGTGGATACAACGGTAGTGGTGGTTGGTGTAGCTGAGAAGGAATTTCTTGAAGCAGAGTTTTTCCTACCGTTCTTTTCATTTGTAGTTTTCTTAGACTCCTGATCTTGAGGATTAATTGCGGCCTTGGCACCCTTTGGCGTACGGGCTGTACTGCCTCTGGTGGATGTACTTTTTATTTCTGTGTTATTAGTATTCCTACTTTGAAATGAAACTTGTGATTGAAAATCTGATACACTTGGAGTAGATGATGCAGAATATGATGTCGTTGTAATACTAGCTGTATTCGTTGTAGATGGATGTGACTTTTTAGGTTTTCTTGTTTTCTTAACTACTGTAGATTTAGCCGACCCTTGAGAATTCAGCGGTGAACCAATTGTTCTTGGACTACGAACATCCTCAGAAACTGTTGATAAAGAACTTGGTAAAACCACTTTATGTCCAGCTCCAACAGCATGACTAACACGACCTGCAGGAACATGCGGTATAGTTGCAGCATTGATACCAAGAGGTGTCACTGGTTCTGATGACGATGCTAGTCTCTTAATTTCAGATGGTCCTAGTTTTTCACTTTCCAAAATTGACGTAGTAGATTTTCTCCTTAAATGTTCCTTGGCATTATTATTCGATTCAGATTTAGTAGCAGGTAAAACCATAGATAATGGAGATTGTGTACTTAATGGTGGGTTCATACTATTACTATGTTGTGCCGTTCTATAATTATTAATTACAATCGGAGTATCCCTTGGCGACCGTATTGTTGCATCAGTATTACTTTGCTCTTTCTCTAGTTCGTTTATTAGAATTGTCTCTGGCGATCTTTTGTCTGCTTTTGTAGACCTTCTCTTTTTTATACTGCCTCTCTGCGACGCCTTAGTTATCTTTGCTTTTGACGCTGTTGAACTTTGACCTCTGCCAGGAGTTTGAGATTGCTTATTAAAGACATCAGTAGTTTGTTGATTCAAAGGCTTGCCCTGACCATAAACTTGTGATGGACCCTGTGATGAATTTAGATTATTATATATTCCTCCATCATTTGAAGTAGGAGAAAAAAATTGTTGTTCAGAATGGAAATTATTGTAAGATTGCCAATCTGGTGGTATGTTTGAATTTGAAGTTGAGGGTACAGACGAACCATCCATCCCAGTACCCATATCATTTGGAAGAGTCTGTGGTTGAATTTGACTTTGATTATTGTAATGGAATTGATGTTGTTGGGATTGTTGGGACATTGCTGGATTTCCTGGCATAGACATATTGTCAGTGCCTGAATGCCTTACAAAATTCATTGCATTATTAATACTGTTACCCTTTGCAGTGTTTGCGACAGTCATAGCGAACATCATAGGATCAAACGTTTCGTGTTTGTAATTACCGCGTTGCTCTGCAATATGCTGAGTTCTTGCCGCGTGTACCGCTAAACTTCTGTATATGTGTTCTTGTCTTTGTTGTTGTATCAAAGTTTTGAAATATTCACGGGCTGCGTTGGAACCAGTCCTTTGAGTCTTAGCATTAAACAAATCCCAGAATACTTGCCACCACTCCAGAAGAAATCCATTAGGAGTATCGTCGATCGAGTCCAATCTCAAACCGCCATGTTTCTCACCTGGAAGACCTGTAGGGTTTGATGAAGATTTCTTAATGCTTTCATCTATTTTAGTCTCTTTAGCAAATGCCTTGGCAGTTTTCTTCAAAGACGACTTCTGAAACATATCATATATGTAGGCGTTTAATAGGTTTTTGGATTCAGCTCTAGGTTCACGTTGACCTCCATACATTTGAAAGAATTCATTTTGAACCTGAGGATTTAGTTGTTTTATGCCAGCTGAAGGCTGTTGTGGATGTTGTGGATGTTGTCGTTGCTGTTGCTGTTGCTGTTGCTGTTGCTGTTGCTGTTGCTGCTGCTGGTGATGTAGTTGTTGTTGTTGATATTGTTGATGTTGCTGTTGCTGTTGCTGCTGCTGTTGATATTGAAATTGACGTTGCTGTTGCTGTTGCTGTTGCTGTTGCTGTTGCTGTTGCTGTTGCTGTTGATGTTGATGTTGATGTTGCTGTTGATGTTGCTGTTGCTGTTGCTGTTGATATTGATATTGCTGCTGTTGCTGTTGATGTTGCTGCTGTTGTTGTTGCTGCTGGACGAACCCAAATTCACTACTCGTTCCTTGAAACTGGAACGGGAATTGTTGGTGACCGCTATTTCTCTTATCGTTCATAATGTTCCCATTATTCGTGTTTACAGGAAAGGACATTATTTCTACTTAAACTAGTCCCTCAAATACGTATTGTTACTATCTGTGTTAGATGATGAATTGGTTTTCAACAATTCTCTTACTCCCGCCAAAAATAACTTTAAATTAAAAATAGTAACGAAACGATAACAAACGGATGCTTAGAAGAATATGAAATATAATTTTAATGTAACACACTCACACTCACTTGTTCAAAAGTAACTACAATACGAGGTGGAAATACCAAAGTAGAATGTTCTCTGACTATCTGCTTCTAAATTATCAATATAAATTCTTGTTGTTTGTTTTCCCCCACCAAAACCAACTGCCCTTGTAACAACCAATAAACGAATATAGCCTAACAACAAACTGCCAAAATACACAGATATAACCAATCTGAAAGTAGATAAAGACCTTGTATGCCAAACCGTACTTCCTATCCAACTTATACTTTGTTTTAATCTTCATCATTACTAGTGAGAGAGAGACCCTTTCAACAAATATTGAAGTCGGTGTTTTAAAACCAAAATTTGATATTGGGAACACGTATCACGAGACCGGCGACAAGGCAAAAGACTAAGAGATGACAGCGACAGCAAACAGCAAACAGTTAAAAGATGAATGGTTAAGGAGAGATTCGATATCTATACATATAAGTGAGTATGTGTACGTGTATATTTGTAATGTTTATATATTTATCTAAAGTCAGTTATTTTTTTTCTCTTTATCTGTTGTTTTCTTTCCGGAATTGGTGGAGATGACTGGAGTGTCAGTGAAATTTGGAATGGTCGACATGACTACCAGGGTTAAAAGTAGTGAGTTTAGTGAGAACAAGAGCCAGCTGGCAGTTAAATTTGGTGGGTATGAGTTCCAGCAGTATTCATGGGCTATGTACCAAATTGGTGCTACAAAAATTGGAAGTTTTGACCACGAAATTAAAATTGGTATTGTCCAATGATACCACGATAAAAATTGATAATGCAGGGATCTCGAGAAAAGCACACCTGCAAAGTTTGTCGTGATCAGTATCACTGGGATTATCCTTTGTTTGTTCAGTTGTGTAAAATTTTGTCTTGTTAACGGATGTGCAATCGCATTGAATGCGTATTTAAAGAGATAAGGACATTGCGATAAGATTATTGTAATGATTGAAAGTAATTGAGAAAATAATAATGATGAATGAAATAATTTATCGTTAAACCCATCTTCTGTGAGCATCTGCCAGTTTACACTCCATTTAAACATAAACTGTCTACTGAAATTGAATGCACTGTGGAAATATTCAGTAGGATAACTGTTTAAAAACGGTATGGCAACTATTATTTGCCATACAACGATTAGCATCCCGCAGATGATTGAGTTTATCAAATGCCCATCAGTGAGAATAAAAATCGATACCAACACTCCAGGAAAGTACAACAATGCATTCATCTTGATGCTGATAGCAATAGTGTATGAAATTGATGCCAATGCACAGATTGCATATCTCAAGGGATAACTCTTAATGTTGGTGCAAACAACAAATAGTAAGATTGCCAACGATACAAATAGGACTGTAAAACAGTCATTAAACAAACGAAGGACATAGATAGAGTGTAATCTCTTGGATAAACAAGCCAATACAACACACCATGGCGGTAGTTGCAATTGATAGTATGTAATGAATTGGATCAGTAGGGTTAACAAATATAAATACCTGAAAACTTGTTGACCACTAGAAATATCGTTGACACCATTTGTTAAACTATCCATAATCTTGTATATCCATACATGACCAGCTGGATACACCAATGGACCTGTTCCGCCTCTTATTTCAGAATAGTCCAATTCACCATTTTTAATCATATCAATTTGTTCCATATAAGCAGTATAGTCGATTTCAGTGTACTGAACTTTAGCGATTATCAATTTCAAAGCAGCAGATTCCAACATAAGCAACAATGGCATTATAATCTTATTAGCGTTGGTATCACACAGCATGTATCGTATACCATTTTTCAAATCTTTCCATGGTTCAAAAGGTGGCCTTTGAAATTGTTTCTCAGAGTCATTTGACTCTTTCTTGGGTGCTCCAGTAGACATAACCTCTTGTTGACCTCAATTCCACTACAGATCAGAGAAATTGCATAAACAGATCCAAATCCAATCTCTTGACTACGATATGAGCTCTCCTTTATCTCTAACTGTGATCAATATAGCAAATTACTTACTTACTATTATCACCATCACCACTTTTTTTATTTTATCTACAAAGGCTTTAATTTTTCATTTTTAATTTTTAAGGCTTACAGGAGAGGACAAACAAACCATCTTCAATCGCAAAGACGAGCAAAGAAAAGTGTCAGCATTTGATTAAAAAAAGCAACAGGCTAACAAGACAAGATCAATCGATTGATTGATTGATTGATGTGGGATTGGATAATGTGAGTTAACAACGTTTATTATAATTATTATTTAAAGGAATGTTATTGAAATGGGAAGGTGTGCAATGACTTCAGTATAGATAAAAGAATAAAAAGCTCAATACTCTGGGTAGATGATGATAATGGTGACATAAAATGGAGGATTTCTACTGTTAATTTAAAATTTAATGGAAACAGATGTCGAATTGGAAGAGAGAAATGGAGAAATCATGACAAACTACTGAGTAACTAATTCATTTTCTAATTCGGTTAATTTGGAATTATTAAGTTCTTCTAGTTCTTCTGTACCACCCAACAGTTTTTTATATTTTAACAATTTCAATGTATTATTATCAGAAACTCTTGATTCCACAATGGAATTTATTAAGTTTTCTCTTTTCCTCTTTAAATTGTCAAGCTCTTCTCTCAATTCTTCAAATTTACCATTATCGTCTTCTGGGGTATCGCTTCTCCTATTTGAAGATGATAGTTTAATTGTTTTCATAATTGATAAATCATGTTCTTTTCTGATTGCATCTTGTAAAGTCTTCTTGGAAGATTTAAGTTCTTCTTGTAAATTAGAATGAACGTGTTTGATATCGTCCAAGGTATTTATCGAATTATTGTTCTTAAATCTTTTCAAAAAAACTCCTTCTTGCTCGTGTACTTGATTTAGTGCATTGTCTGCAGATTCTATTTTAATCTTTGTCGCTTGAATTTCTTTCTTCAATCTCATAGACTCTTGATTCATTGTATTGACCAGGGATTTTGAAAGATTTGTCAATTTAGAACTTAAATTATAGATTCCATTTTCTGAAAAGTCATCATTTTTCGATCCAACTGTTAGATTCCTCTTAATTTTGGTTGGAGAATTTTGATCTACATGGAAAAAGTTCTCATTATTTATCTTTTTGAATGGCGATAGTACCGGACTAGACCTTTTAATGAATTCAGGAGACGTTATTAAGAATTGCGAAGGTGTAATTTTTACGTCTTTGACCAGCGAAGAAGTAATAACCGAATCCATCTTCAGATTATCATCAATTGTAGTATCAAAAGATTCTGTAACGGTTCTCATTGAGTTTGTATTAACAGGTTTCAAACCTGTTTCAACAGGTGTGGCTAGAGTATGAATACCACTATTTTCGTCGTGATTATTATTATTATGATTATTATTATGATTATGATTATGATTATGACTATTATTATGATTATTATGAGTGTTGTGATTATTATTATTATTATTATTGTTATGCTTATTATTAATATTATTGTTAATATTATTCGAATTATTATGAATATCAATTGGTTTATTTCCTAAGTTTTCAAGTATATCATTCAATTGAGCTTGGTCTTGAGCATTGATTAATGGTATTGTCTCTAGATTTTGCTCTTCAAACAAATCTGTAGAGTCTCTATCAATCTTACCAAATGAAAAATGTGGAGATATCGCCGGCGGATCCATTAAATTTAGTTTGGATAAAATATAAGTTGGAGTTTCATTATTAAAATTCTTTATCTCTGGAGAGCAACCAAGTTTTAATAATTTATTATATAATTCCAAATTCAAATTTAAAGCCGCCAAATGTAAGACGGTATTCCCCATACTATCCTGATAATTTAAACACATACGAAGTAAGGAATGATCGTTTTGCTTCAAATTGAAGATAATAGAGTTAAAATAAAAATTTATTACCTCTGGATCCTTAGATTTATTTACAGAAAGTTCCACCAAATAATGGACTGGAAGTCTTCCATTCGTGTCTGGTGTTATTAGACAAACCCTTAAAGTGGAAAGAATTTCATTTATATTTCCTGCTTTGTAACAATTGTTATAAAAAAGTAATTTAGTAATACAATTAAAACCTCTTGAATTGACATGACCAAGATTTGCATTTAAAGATACTAATAATCTTACTAGATGTAAATTTGCCATTGCGGCAGCCCAATGCAAAGTGCTGTGGCCTTGATCATCAACTTGGAAATTCACATCTAATCCCTGTGGAGGATGGTATAGTTTCTGTGGTAAGGTATAATTCACATCAGTACATTCTTCTGATGATAAAACCAACATTAACAAATCCTTATACTCTTTAATTGAATGAGAAGATTGTTGAAGAGGTTGTGGTGTTATCGAACGTGACGTGTTTGTTGATTGTAAGCTAGAATTTGAAAAAATGTCATTTGAAGGTTCATTTTGCCAAATAAATTGATCATTAACAGATCTTACGCTTTTGTTTTGTTGTGATTTATCGATTTGAATCGAATTATCTATAAAATCATTTTTTTTACTATTTGGATGTGAATAAAATTGTAAAGGCTTTTGTGAAGCAGAATACCTTGAATTTTTAGTACTGTCCGTTAATATGGAAGAAGTTGGATTTGTATTAGTATTAGTTGAAAAACTAGAGATTGAATTGTTAATGAATTGTTGTGGAGTATGATAAATCAAAGTTTGCAAAGGACTTGGGTTAATTTTTTTATTTTTTTTATTTGATGAGGAAAGAGGAGGTACATTACTTTGAGAAGAGTTTATTACTGTTGAAAAATCTCTTTTCTTTGGAGTTTTCTTATAGCTTGAAGGAGATATAATTTTTGTACCGGGAGAATTCCTTTTCAATATACTATTTTTTGATCTCTTGGGAGGTATATTATTTGTATCCAACGTGAAATTTAAAATAGTGGATACAACTGGGTCTTCAATATTATACTTAATCACTATTGTTTTTGCACAAATCAAAGGAATCCAGGTACCTTGGAATCTACCATAACCACCTTGAATTTTTTCGTGATCTATCGATTTTGTTTCCTTTTCCAAGATTTTAGTTCTTTTGGTCTTTGAAAATGAAGCCAATTTGAATACCTGTGTTATATTGATCCAGTCATCTAAAGTTCTTCTCATGACAGTTCTCGATTCTTGTCCCTTGATGTAACATTCGTAGACATCAGTCTCTGAATATGTTGCGATTTCAATGATGGGAGAAGGCATCTGAGTGAACTGATGAATTCTTTTGTCTTAGATCTTAACAAACCAAAATCACAGTTTCTCTAATTGCTCTCTACAGTTGTAAAATCCGTAAGAAAACCAAATAATACAACTTGATTAGAAACCTAGCCTTATATATCTGTTTAGGTGATGAAAGACAGATATCTCTAGATGGTTCGTTATACTAAAGTTAATTGTAATATAGAAAATATATAAGGATGGTGGTTGTGCATATTATATAAACCAAATAATACACACGATTGTTGCAGGTATTAAGTTATTACACCAGTTAAGTTAATAGTGATTGAATAAATAAATAAAATAAAAAAGTGTGTCCCTGAAACATTTTGATTTCTGATCTAATACGCGTTATACCTATGTTTTTCTGAGCACACAGGCACAGAAAACTCAAAGAACGAAAATAGTATATGCAGATATATTTAGTACAAATTTCAAATTTAAGATCAGAAAAAGCCAGTAGCGAGAATATATAGAGAGAGGTCAAAAAATAAAATAAAAAAAAGAAAGAAATCAATGAATGAATGAATGAATGTAGGGTAACTGCTAAAAAATAAAGATAAGTCAGATATCAGACCCAAAAATAAAACAAAAGAGAAATAATAATACATAAAAAAAGTATGTAAAACATATGGACATTTCCCCTCTGCAAATAGAAACACATAAAATAAAGAGAAACAGCCCATTCATTTCTCGTTGTTCCCTCCCTTCCCCGCAATCCAAATGCCCAAATGCCCAAATGCCTAAATTTCCAACTACCCAATTACACTTCCCTCCTCCGCCCATCACTTGCAATCCCTCAGACCTATCCCTTGCCCAAGTGCCATTCCCAACATTAAATCCAACACAACTCCCTTGTTCCCCTGTCAGTCTTTCCTTGAACCAACATGCGAATGTAAAAACGTAAAAACTGAAAGACATAAAGAAAACTGGAAAAGTGAAAGGGAAATGTAAAAGGGAAATAACTGTTTTCCCTTCCCTTTTTATACTTTTCCAAAACCCCAGTTTTTTTGTATGTTTTTGTGTCACATCTCAATTCCAATTAAACAAAAGCTCCACAAAAACGAAAACGAAATACGTCCGTAACCGCTTTCCTTGCCGCCAAGCTCTCACACCCACCCTCAGACACATATAGAATGGGGGAAAAGACTTATAGTAGCAACAATACTTGAAACGTGATGGACATCCTGTTATTGTTACAATTACCACTACTGTTGATCTTATCCATTCCTCACTCTGTTGGAATAATCATATTATAATGTCCAAGATATATCAATATACATACCACTTATCAAACTTCCAGTCACATGACATTAGAAACAGAAAACAAAATAATAAACAAACCATCACACCTTCATCACGTGTGCTCTCCTACTGAAGCCATGTTTCACTTTTAACAATTCACAAATTACCCGCACTTATATTTAGTATTGGTCAGCTGATCACATTAAGGCAGGGTAAGTAACGGCCAAGTTCTCTCTTCCAGTATGCGAAAAGAAAAAAAATTAAAAATTAAAAATCAAAAATTGGTGTTAGTAAGAACAATTATTGAAATTTGAAAATATTGCAAGATTATATTTTTGGTACAACAGATAAAAGAGTTTCGAATTCAATTGATATGTTTTCTATAAAGGAAACAATTGATCTAATAACAATAATAGGGTAGCAAGAGGTCCCATTTGCAGATTATCATCCTCTCTCCAATTTGTTTTTTGAATTACAATGTTACCTTTATATTTGCTGACGAATGCAAAGGGCCAAAAAATTACTATTGAGTTGAAAAATGGAGAAACTATAAAAGGTGTATTGACCAATGTTGATAATTGGATGAATTTGACTTTATCTGATGTCATTCAATATGATAGTGATGCTCTAAATAACGGTGCTGAGAAGCCCGAAGGTTTGAGTGTGCCAGAGATTTATTTAAGAGGTACTTATATTAAATATATTAATTTGCAAGATGATATTATTGAAAATGTGAGACAACAGATCAATAGCAGTAGTAATAATAACAACTCTGGTAGTGGCAATACTGGTAGTGGTGGTGGATATGGTGGATCTGGCCAAGGCAAAAGACAGAATAGATACAATAGTGGCAACAGTGGGAATTATTCTCATAGTTATCGTAGAGGTGGTAATAAAAGAAATTATAATCAAGGTTCAGGTAACCGTCGTTCTTATTATGATAAAGTTAATAATAATAATAGTAATAATAATAATGGAATGGGGGGTTATGTTCAACATCACCAATCTGGTCCTCAACAACCACAGTTTAATGAAAATACTGCATCGGTTCAATTTTGAAGTATTCAATAAACATATAAAAAATAATGTATTTATAAAATAGATAATATAAAAAAACATATATATATACAATAGATATACAAATTCATGCAAAAATTCGATTTGTTTATAGGTAGTGTGACTTTAACATCAAAAAGTTGTCGTATTGAATCTATATCTAATTTGCCAAGTACGCTTACATTAATTTAAAATCGTTTATATAGGAATATATATATATATAAATGTGGATGTGAGTGGGTATCTATATATATAATTATTTATTTATTAATTAATTAATGTAAAGGGAGGTTACATTCCATTTCCTCAAAAAAATGTCTATTCTATGCTAATTTGTGTTTTTATAAAGTTTAATGATCAACCAATAGCATGTCATATAAGCAATAGCTCCACATGAAATGCCTAGTATTACATTTAATGCAATAGTATAAAAGATTGTTAATACAGTCATTGAAAATCCATGAATCCGTATTACTTCAATAATATAATACAGTGAGTATAATCCTGTCAAATAGCAGATATTAAAACTGTTTAAGAAACAACTCCATCTTAAAGATATAGGATCATCTCTCCATTGCGAAATACCTTTTTTAGTCATCATAATATTTACAAACAGACCAACCAATGAAGTACTACTAACTGTTATGATTATAATGAATAGTTTTATTATTAGGAAAATAAATGATTTAATAAAAGTGGTATAATTTAGCCATTTATTTGTGAATATCCAATATAATTCTGATTTTATGATGAAAAATGGGACAATTGCAGTAATTAATGAATAGACCAATGTCCCTAATTTATTTTTATTGATGCTGCTCGGTCTATGTTGGGCTTTGAATCTTTTCTTCTCATCGTTGTCATTATTTTCATTGTCAAGAGTAATATTACCAAACATTTCTTTATAATGCTTTCTATATTTCTTAGCCAAACCTCCGCCAATGATGCTAAATGGAACACAAATGATGTAGAAGAAAGAAATCATCATAGTCAAAGTTTTGAAAGGGTATCTACTACTTGATTCGATTAACCAAACGATACTGTGTATAGGGTATACGAATATCATAAGTAAGAAAGGTAATAATGAACCACATAAAATTGAAAACTTTGGATTGTAATTAATACTTTTCTTGTTCAATATATTCATCCTTAGCCATGTACCTAAGAAAGAAGAGGCCAAGATACCTTCTATGAACCAAATGAAGATATTGAGTAAAACAATATTACTTATATCATGCAATTTATAGATGGATAATTTTAAAATGATAATACCAATTAACGAGAAGATACTTTGAACACCCATTGAAATGACCAGAGTTAATATACTAGCCGAGAATGAAGATTTTAAATTAATATTATTTGATTCGATCCAACATTTTGATGCTAATTGAGCTTCAGTGGTGAATTTATTTTTTTCACCATTTTCTACAACCTTAACAATGATAATTGAAAAAATTATTAAAGGTAATAAGAATAAACCAGTTCTAGTTGGTTGCATAATATTCGAGAGCATCGATTTATTAATTAATTTTGGGTCTTCTTCTTCGATATCGTTGTCGAAAAGATTCCATCTTGAGGTCCAATCAATATCGAATTCTTCCCTCCAATAAACCGAATAAGTGAAAGGTATAAACGTCAAATCATCATCATTTTCTGGTATTACCAATTCATATTCTTCGTAATTTTTTGAAGCACCTGGGCAATGGTAATCTGAAACAGACCTTAGGTAAACTTCGAATCCTACAATTGTGAATTTATCGTCATCAATTGCATTATATCTAATGACTAGCATCGAATGATTATATAGATAAACTTTATTTTTATCTTTATCGAACCTACCTAGAGGGAAACCTGGAATATATTTTTTTCTTTGAGTAATTGTTGATATATAAGGCATTGAAATTGGTAATTCGTCATCGATTGACCAAAGGATTTGGTAATCTTGTTTGATCATGTCAATTGCCTTTGAGACACCATTTTTGTTAGTTTTCCTTGCACAAAGTATTTCACATTCGTAATCATCACCAAATTTCAACTTATAATCACTTTCACTAAGGGTATCACCACGAAACAGACTGTCGAATTCCAAATGAACAGGTTTTCTTACGCTAGTAGGAGGACATACAAAAGGTAGATCATGGTAGATATACGGTTTCAAGTCGGCATTCAAAGTTGAGATAGCTTTATTGACTAACAAATCTACATTGTCACCAACTTTATAAACATTTGGTTGTAGCCAACCAAATTTTTTCTTACCATAAACTTGTGGAGGTACGTGAGTCAGCCAAGTTGGATATAAAGTTACCAATGAGAATAATAACGTCGATGAAATGAGTACTAGAAACCATAATCTTTTCTTTAACAGATATTTCATTTCCTTTTCCTTCTTTTTTTTTATATTTCTCTAGTTCTGTCCTGTTCTGTCTTGTGCTGTTGAACCATTAATAAAATGGAAATGGAACTATACTAATTTCTGTAAATACGTGAGATGAGCTGTAAATGTCCTAATTATATTAAAATTGTATTTTAACCAGTACCCAAACAGTCAAGCACACTGTCCCACCTCTATCTTTCTACAGACACAGATAAAGATATATATATATATATATATATGTCCTAATGTCTGAATATATATAAATGTATATCACAAATTAATATGAAGATGAATACAAACAGAAGTAAGAAGATGTGATAATTATTACAGTCACAAATAATGCTATGTAATATAAACCATCACCATTCGTCGTCCTCTGTCTTTCGAACCTGATCTTGATATTTCGAATCAGATTGAAATTTCACAACTGTTGTTGGTATGTGATGGGATTGAGTTGGTGAAAAATTGATGAAAAATTGAGATGCAGTGCAACGCTTTGGAAAATAACCGAAAAGGCGCATCGATATCGGTAGAATGACCAGAAAAGGACAGGGGAGTTGGGACAGGGGAGAGGGGAAGAACGATATAAAAAGTTTCGAACTTACAACTTGAAACTGGTTTCAGTCAAGGACACCTTTGATGACAATGGTTGGTTTGATACGTTGATTGATTGATTAATGATATGTTTGAATCCTGGTAAAGTCAGTATTAAGATTAGAGAATATGCTAGCAATATATATGTAATATTACATATTATTATATTTGTTTATATAAGTAATGAGAGGGTGGTTGAGGAGGGTGACACATTTTTGATTTTATGGAGAATGGATAGAAGAATGTGTTGTAATAGAATGGGGGAAAGAGATTGGAGGGGGAGAGAAAGGTAATTATTAATGCTACAATTTATTATCATCCATATATTTTGATGTTGGTTGGTTAAAGTAATCTTCTTGTTGGCCATTTGGGGTTCTTTCTTTAGCACGCATACTATTGCTACGGACGATATTTGGAGTTGACATCCCTGAAGCCAGTAAATATGGGCTGGAAAACCCAGCTGAAGACATTGTTGTTGTGTTTACGTTGGATGAGTTAGATGATGACGATGCAGTGAGTTCTTCTTCTTGAGTGTTACTGTTTAATTGAGTTGACCCCGATATCAGAGTTTCTGGTTTATCAAAATCTGTTTTGATATTGGTGTTGTTGCCATGCTGATGTTGTTGGTCCCACATCATTCTATGTTCATCAGATTCCTTTTGTCTTTGTTCTTCTCTTTGTCTATTCTCTTCACGGGCTTCTGATAACATTTCTTGTGCTTTACTCAACGAAATAGTAGGTGTGGAGTACGAACTGATAATTGGCACCGTAGTGTCAATATCGATAGATGTCTTAATCAATGCTGTCATCCATGTCCTCATCTCTTCTTTGGTATCGACTGCAAAATAGTGGACTCGAGGTTGTGTGAATGTTAAACCTTTCTTAGATCCCGGTTGTGGTGGTATCAATTTAAAACAATATCTACCTTTACCGGTACTTGCTGCAAATAAGGATACTAATTTATCGTCTTCTCTTGCTGGCACTACACGATGACCTGTGATATCTATTAACCCTCGTTCACGAGTGTCTGTTGTATTACCAAAATAGGACAATCTTGTACCATGTAATGTGAAAAACCTTGTTTTCCAAGTCCCGACAGTACCAGAACCCTTTTTGTTCATCCAACCAGAACAATCTGCATCTTTCATAGCATCTTGAACAGTAATTGTTCGTATACCTTCCATGAATGCAGAAGTTTGCTTTTTAGTTACAGCCTTGGATGTCATTTTCTTCATTGTAGTCCCCTTCATTACGTTACTAACAGATCTCTTCTTCTCATCGTCTGTCTCTTCAGGGGTAACAGTTCTCATGTTAGCATAATTGCCTTCTTTTGCCTTTGAATCATTTTTGGAACTTGGAGGTTTTGATGGGGATGAGTACGATACTAGATTTGGAGTAGAAGAAGTTTTACCAGTTGGTGACGATTTTGCAGCATTGTCTGTAAAATGCTGTTTATTTGGACTCAATACAAAAGAAGTATCTTTAAATGATTTCCCATCACCGTTTTTTTTATAATCTGAATCTTCACCGTAGACACTAGATGATGTGGATGCTGTTGAAATATTTTCCATATTTCTTAATTTATTAGCGGTTGATCTTGTTGAGACTTTATTAATCATTTCAGAATATGAATCGTTCGATGACATTGTTCTTTCCAACGATTCTGGTGGGTTACCACTACTAGAGTAACTGATTGTATTTTGTAAATTCCTTGAAGTATTAGAACCGTTATTATTATTATAATTATTACTGGTATTAGTTATTGTTGGTGTTGATTTAGTCATCGTTGCAATATCAGTTGAACTGTTTCTATAAGGCAATGGAGATTTTGGAGGTTGTACAGGGCTTGGATAAGAAGGTGGTTTTGGAGCTCTCCTAGGTGAGACAAAAGAACTCTTATCTGCTACTACTTCTGCTACTGTTTTAGGTACGCTTAAATCGTCATAAGTAGATTGTCCTGGTGTTCCATGAAGTATCGCTGATACAGGTCTATTCAAAGAAGAGTTTGTATTTTTAATGGATCTTCCTTCCATTTGTCTTGAAGGACTAGGAGTAGGGATATCATTTAATGTTTTCGATTTTTTCCTAGCATGCCCTTTATGTGGGGTAGATTGGTCAACATGGGCTGGAGGCATCAATTTGTTTGATCTGTTCGATATCGAAGAAGTGTCATTGTTTAATGCGGCCACAGCTTCTTTAATTATTTCAATTTCTTTGAAGATCTCGAATCTTGTACCGAAGGAATCTATATCTAGTTCCTTTAGATATGATAACTCCAACTCCAATAGGATATTTCCTGAGATCTTATGTTGTTGAAACTTGGAGGCTAATTTTTTCTCAAACCCCAAAGAAATGAAATACTCAGTGACTTCTTCTGGAGACCACGACGAAGCACTGGCAGGATTCAGATTTGAAGTTGAACTTGGATTTGGATTTGGATTAATATCTAAAGCTGAAATATTTGTTTCTTGGGTGATATCATTTACATCAATGCTTGAATGTGACATTGCTTTCAGCTCTTCCAATGCGTTGTCTATATCTGCAGTGATTGGGTTACTTAAACTAGTTGGAGAATCGTTCTGTTGACTCAAACTTGTGGTGCTATCGTTGCTCACGGATCTTTTAGTTGATTTTGCTCTAGTCAAAGGATATTTTCGTTCCATTTTGATTTCTTGGGTGAATACAGCAGGATACAGACCTTCTTGTTGAGTTCTCAAATTCTTACCGTAATACCAACCATCGTTATATTCTTCATCATCAGTGATAACTTGGATCTTATCACCAGGTTTAAAATCCAACTCATCTTCCATCCGTCTAGAATATTCATTAATTGCAATATAAATTGGGAAACTTTTGGTTTGTATTACAGTGCTGGAAGATTCTCTTGACATGGGAGTTAGATTCCTTGAATGGGAAGACATCCCAGAGACTCTTCTCGAACTCATTTGCTAGGGTTAGAGATGTGCTGATACGTAATGGAAAAATACAGACAGTAATAAAATATTATAGCCAAAAAAAAAAATTAATAAAACGTTTCGAATATAGTCAATCAACCCTCTAATTTTCCAAGATCAGTAAGTTAAAATAGTCCAAACAGTCTAAACTATTTGTCCTTGGTGATTGAAGTGAAATAATGAAAAATTCCCAAATCGAAAACGAATTAACTAACAACAGGATAACTTTTTAAAAAACAAAAAGATTAAAAGAGTTGTTGTTGTTGGAATTATTTGAAAGGGAACACTCTACAACTTACAACAGTTGAATTAAATGAATGAACAAGTGAATGTAATATATTTGTAACCTACTAGCACTGTTGTAGATAGCTAACGATTACTATCTATAACAGATTATATGATTAGATAACTGATTTTAATCACTTTTATTTCAATTATTTTTTTTTACGTATTTTGCACAGCCAGTTTTCTACTAAGAACCCATAGCTAAGAGAGAGTTGCCATTCACAGTCTGTCAGTCTCTCTAATGTATGTATGTAACTAAGTATCAGTATATATGTAGAAGTGTATATGTAAAAAGTGTATATGCAAGGTATGAGTTGGTGGTTTGTTAACTGGTACTTTACAAGATATGATACAAGGTTTGAAATGCGTCTTAGTTGATACACTTTCTTACAACAAGGCTTTCTTTTAGATATATACGTTGGGATATACAGTTTCAATTGGAGCTGTCATATGTAATATATATATATATATATATATATATGTCTGTGTGGGTATGGGTGTCTGCCATTGGTTATTGGCTAGTTGAACTTTGAAGGAGTCTTTTGTTTCATTAAATTCTGACTTGTATTGAATGATTCCTTAATGAAAGGATGGTTCGGGTTACTATTCTGTACATCTGATGATACCTCTTGACGTTTTGTCATGTAGATAACCTAATATTTGAATTAGGCAACGTATGTTGTAGGTGGTACTGTAGCCACAGCCATGGTCACGTGTGTAGCTTTTTGATATTAGAGGAATAGGGAGATGTCTGAGAAGGTGGGTCTTGAGTTGGTGTTGGTGTTAGTGTTAGTGTTAGTGTTAACTTTAATATCTAGAATTCCTACTAAATTGTAAGCGATACTTTGCTACTGGTATCCAGGATGTTAGTGATCTGAGTGTATGTGCACATGTCAGTAATCATGTATCTAGTTAGTTCACTGCCGTGCAGAATATATATATCTATTTCATTGACGTCGTTACCCGCATTACAGGGGCAGTTGCGGTATAAGATATCGATGATTTCGAATCGGTTTAAGCCAAGCTGAGCTAAGCTCAGCTGATGGGAAGTGAAGTTCTATTAATAAAAGAATCGATGAGGTGGTTTGGTTCCAATATCATCTAATTATTCGAATATCTGTGATCTATATTTTATAAACTGTCCTCATGTGCATGCAATCATGGTAGTCATTACTACTCGTGGTAAGGAAAAGCGTCCAAAATTTCTATTAGAATTTAGTATCAATGAATTGATTAATGTGCCACAATCTACTGGCTACTGTTATGTTAAATGGAGTTTAAAAGATGGTACCGGTATATCTTCCCATAGGTTATCGACAGTGGAGAGTATTGATAACCAGATGGTCAATACCAAAAGTAAAGGGGAGACTTCTAAACATAAAGTTAAATCGCATAAAGTTGATTGGGGCCATGTCATCGAGAAGCCAATACCTGTAAAATTGCATGTAGATAAAGATAATAATCTAATAGAGAAGTTATTGAGGTTTAGAGTAATATATCAATCTGAAGAGAAAAGTGGTCGAGGTAGTGAGAAATTGGACTTGGGTACCGTAAATGTGAATATCGCAGATTATGTCAGAGAAGATGAAATGGCTGTTAGTAATAGATTTCTTTTAAAGGACTCTAGGATTAATTCTTTGCTAAGTATTTCTATACAGATGAAACTGTATAGAGGTACATATAGAGAATTTAATTTACCACTATCTAAAAATGCATATGGTCAAATTCCTGGCGCGTTTCATACAAGTATAAGTGAAATATTGGAAGATGTCGTAGATATTAATTCTCCTACATCATCGCTGTTTAAAGGTACACCTCAAATAGGTTCACCGAGACCAAGTCTCTCTCCAAGACCAACACCATTACCAATACATACAGCGGCACTCATGGGACATTCGGAAAGTCAGTTTTCCAGCAATGTACCAAACATCAGTGCTCCAAACACTGGTGTCAAATATGTGTCACCTTTAGTGGATAAGCTGCTACTAACAACCTTCCACATGCCTTGGGATCCAAGACCTGGCGAATATAATCCTAGAGAGTGTGTCGAAGATATAATTCGCGGTGGTAATGGTTGGGCTAAGAATGGGCAAGGTATTAAGTTGATAGATCTTCAGGCACTAAAACTATCTGAAGAAGAGTTTAGATATTACAAAGCGCATACAAATAGTGGCAACACTGATATAGATGATGCTGAAGATGCATTTTCATTAGCACAAAGAGAAATTTTATCAGGAAGGCATACTGGTAATACACAATCAATGGGTACCAAGGAATATTTGAAACGTAGGGAAAATTGGAATGAAATATCTAAAGTTATAGATGATACTACAGCTTCACCTTTAATTTATACCGGTGCTAGTCAAATTTTTGGAGGTCAGGAATTGACACAACACCCGATAGTGGATACCAGAAGTTGGTCTGTATCAAACAATTACACAGCATGATAATTAATGATTTTATTATATCTATTTATATTTTTTTAATGTAATTTTAATTAATGGAGTTAATACAATATATAAATTACTATTGTAAAAGTAACGAACTTAAATGGTATTCGAATTAGGAAACTCAGAAAAGTCAAATAGTGATGAATCCTAATTTTTATGTATATAAGGAAAATGAACAAATTAAGGTATAGATTCGAATCTTCAGGGAACTTTGAGCATGCTACACAATGGACTAGACAAGTAAGTTAGACGTTGACAAGGACAATTCTGTCCTGGTTTTAGAAACAGTCCATGCTTAACACCTCTTAAAGGACATCCCATTGCTCTATTATCGATACTCCCAGAATAAGCACCAAATCTTATTGTGTTCGAATATGCAGATGCAGGGAACATCAATAAAGGTGGTTTTGATTTCTTCCTCTGATATTTAAACCTCCAAATATGTGTTTTTTTATATGAATACAGGAAATGTTCTTGTCTTCTTGATAATGGTGCTAACAGGATTTTCCTTGTCTTTACTTTTCTTGGTGTACTTCTTTTGGTACCATTATTTGCGATACACTGTTGAGCGTTTCTTATAGATTCATTCTCAGAAAGGTAGGGTTGCCAGATATTGTCTGGGGTTCCTTGAGCCTTATAGGAGTTCAATAGAGGTACTTCCAATTGGTTACAAGTCAATCTAGATGGTTCACTATTTGCAAAGAAGTTTATATTCATGACCGACCTGGATAAGGGTATATTTTAGTTATTTGAATGTGCTGGTAATAATACCTATAACGAAATTACGAGGTAATGTATTTGATTATTTAAAATGATGGCAGTAGTCCTGACCTTTTACTAACTATCAGGCAGTTTAACGAGGGTGATATGGAAGGTATAACAAAACAGTTTTTTTTATTCATCTTTGTTTGTTTTATATTCATGTCGCCGAGTTAGTGACGCTGACACCGTAACACATAACTCACGCAATTTGCTAATACAATAACCGAAGATATATTACCTAATAGCAAAGAATTTATTAAAAAAAAATATGCAACGAAATATTAACTTCTTCAGCAGAGTTATCGGTGTTCTCAAATTTATTGTTAATTTATTGATTTATATGCAATTACGTAACTATCTATTTCTTTCTTTTAACCCTTTTCTTTTTGAGGATAACCAATCTGACATCTCTGAAACTAATACCTTTTCTACACAAAGCACATACACCCTGTTTCTTGCCCACCCTTGAGCTATTTACCATTGGGAATAGACATCGGTTACAATATATATGGCCACAAGGAGCTATCATAGCCGTCTCTGGAGGGTCAAAACAGATTGGACATCTGTAATCAGTAGCGGGTTTGATCTCTGGAGGAGACAGCCTACGTTTCTTTCTGTATTCCAAGGTTTCACCAGAATCATCAATTTCATTTTCGTCAATATCTTGTAGAAGTACTTCTTCAGGAACTTCGACGACTTGTTGTTCCCTTATTTCACTTTCCAAATCGATGGTCTCAGGGATGATATGTCCTTCATTATTATCATCAGCAGCACTATCCAGTACATTGAGCAATTCTAGACCTTCCTCATCTGAATTTAATCTGTTCTCATCAATGACTAGAATAGAATCTTCACTAGATTCTGATCTGACTTCGTCATTCAAGTAATCTTCATCGTCATCTTCACCACTTGTTCCCATAGTTATATTAAAATAGAGTGTTCGAGCTCGAGCATGGTTATATGCAGACAGAAGAAAGAATGATTTCTAGACTTCTGAATTAAAGTTTAATCAATATTTCAAAGTGTATCTTGGTGAAGCCATCTAAATCGAAACCTCTATTTCTATATTAATTTACCTTGTAATAGATTAAGCTACCATAACTAAGTCAAAAAGTCTCAGCCTGATTTCATATATAAGTCGTTGTGCTGCTTGAACAAAAAAGGGAAAGAAAAATGTCTGTAACATAGTATGATATCTTTTGGGTAGACAAACATTTGTCCTATTTGTCCCTATACCAATAATGTCCCTTTTCTTGTTTTTCTGGTTAATGCTCATAAACATTAATCTCAATTTACACCCATACATTCTGCAGTCACACTTAACCAATACATCCGGACACCTCGATAGCACGCATATTTTTCATAAGAAACCGTAAAAAACCTGTCCATGTGCATCACAAAAAACGAACTTTTCATCTAAACTTTTTTTCAAATGAAAACGCAAATAGACAGAAAATTAAGCACACACGCACACATACAAACGCATAAACACAGATTAGAATATTTATTCATTACATCGGCAACCCAAGCGACGCACTGAAGTTTGGTTTTTGCAGCCTTTGCCCACCCACACACTCTGACAAATTTCAACACTTTTTCACTTTGAAATGTTTTCACAAACAATAGAAGCAAACAGACCCACACTAACGCTAACACTAACACATATTCGCAATCTTTTGTCAATTACACTACTAATATCATCATCAATCTCTACTCTATCTAGTAATCCAATCCACCAACCTCTCTCTATTCTCTCTAATGCTAACCTGTCCTAACCTGTCCTAACCTTGCCAACTGAACTTTTGATTCCTCTATCTCATCTTCTCTACTCTCTACTCTTGCATTATTGTATTGATGATAGATTGATTGATTGATTATTCGAGATGAATGTGATGGATGGTTTATGTTCTTATTTTATAAAAGAACTATATATTAAAATTACTGGTATTGTTGGGAATAAGGTATTGTTTCATCATAACCCAGAACCCCGTAATACTATAGCTAAGCAACTATGTCAGGTGCACAAGGTACTAAATTCAGAATTTCTGTATGTTAAGAAATATTACAATAAAACAAGATAACCCATATCATGATATCTAATAATAATACGAGAACTTATATCAATGTGGAAGACTTTATATTTTGTGATTAGAACTATACAGTGGATTGAAACCGAATCTGTGTGAATTCCCTCCCACCCCAGAAACTAGGAAATATCAACGTTATTTGACGTCGATGAATGCAAGTTTTATGGTTGAATGAAAGCATTGTGTTTTATATAAATTGTGGGTTTTATCAAATTCATCATTATAAACACCGGCTGAACTTCCAGTTGGTTTATGTATATATGATGGGATCATGTGGATTTGAAGTCTTCTAATTTGAGTTTTCTCTTCAATCTTTTTTGTTTTGAATTTTATTACTAACATTTTACTTATAAAATCATTCATTGATTTTGTCATATTTTATACAGTTAGGTTTACCAACTGGTGCCATCATGAACTGTGCTGATAACAGTGGTGCTAGAAACTTGTATATCATGGCCGTCAAAGGTTCTGGTTCAAGATTAAACAGATTACCAGCCGCCTCCTTAGGTGATATGGTTATGGCTACTGTTAAGAAGGGTAAGCCAGAATTAAGAAAGAAGGTCATGCCAGCTATCGTCGTTAGACAATCTAAGGCTTGGAGAAGAAAGGACGGTGTCTTCTTGTACTTCGAAGACAACGCCGGTGTCATTGCCAACCCAAAGGGTGAAATGAAAGGTTCTGCCATTACTGGTCCAGTCGGTAAGGAATGTGCTGATTTATGGCCAAGAGTTGCCTCCAATTCTGGTGTCGTCGTCTAAGTTTATTAAACATAATAAATCATCATTTATAACCCACATATAGTGTTTTATATATTTCTAATAAAACTTTATTAGCTTTCTATTAACGCCTACTAAAACAATCTTTCTACTATTCCTCATATAACTACTAGATCAAGATTAGCCCATGTCTTAACTACAATCAATGTCTTGTCTATATAACTGTCTTCAGATCTTGCTCGTATTAAGCAATAATTAAGCAAAGCTTCTTAAATCGCCTCTGAAAAAATATTTAAAGGTAATGGAATAAAATCCAATAGTTTTAAAAAGGCAGATCAAAGAAAGAGAGAATCTACACTTAACAGAACATTAGAGTGGATCACACCTCTTCCTGTTGATTGAAGTTGGTTTTGATGTTGAAGAGTTGTATTTGGTAGCAATTGTCGGGACTCAACATTAATAATAATAAAATTAATTAAAAAGGATATCCGAATTACATTTAATGAACTCATCTATATTGCATAGTATTAATAATGGATTGTGTTCAACTAAAATTAAAGATCATAACAATGCTATTGATGAATTAATTTCTATATTAAAACAGAATCCTGGAATTGTAGAGGGAAAGATTTTAACTGAGATTAACGTTTCCCTAGTTCAGCTGTTGGCGGCTGAACATCATGGTCATTGTACTCTATTGGAATCCCAAACTGAAACTAGTCAAAGTAAGTTAACTACAAGTGAAAATAGATTATCCTCCGTTTCATATGCATTAAGATTGCTTATAGAGAAGACATCTTCTAAACTTAAGCTAAAATCTTTGAGGCTGTTGTTATTCACTTTGCCTAAATTAATGTTACAAAAAGGTACAAAATCTCTATTAGATGCAGTATCTGTGCATTTATCATATGGATTATTAGCACTTGTAAGAAGTGAGCCATTTCAATTGAAGTTTATGCAAGATGAGTGGGTAGAAGTGGTGAATATACTCTGTTCGTATATTGATGAAAGGGTCAAGAAATCTAATATTAATGACAGAAACGTAACAAATTTTTTATTAGTATTAGATACATTGGTATCCATGGACACCACTGGTCTTGAACATGTATCTGTTGATTTAAATAAAACAATTATTAATTATTTGGAAAAATGTTCAGAAGAAAATGCAATTACTATTATTTTAATTAAGCTAATAAATCAATTGGTAGTAAGGACACACTGTATGAATATAAATGCCACATTAACTCTCATATCAGAAACATGGAGATATTATATTAGAATCGGCTCGCTTAATAATGAAGATACACAATTAGAGTTTAACTTTTTTGATTTCATGTCATCCAACTTGGTACACAATGAACTGCCAGTAATGATAGGAAATGACGAGAATCAAAAGAATGTTATCTATGGAATATTAAAGGAATATATCATATTGCGTTCTGTAAGATATAAAGCCAATTCACTTCTATTGTCACAAATAGATTTGTCCGAAAACGTTGTCTTGAATCCCTCATTATTTGCAATAGGAAACATAAGATTAAAAAGAAATGGAGATATTGTGCCATGGGTAGAACTTTTAAGTCTGACAAAAGTTTTAATTACCTTCTTTAAACTGAAATTATTAGAAGAAGATAATGGACTGTTATTTAAGAAAAGAAAACTGGAACCCAGTATAACATCATATTTACTAAATTCCACAAACATAGAATCCTTTATATTACAACTCATTGCATCTGAGAGCAACGATATACAACTCATTGGTCTTCAAATATCTGTCTTTTTCCTTTCTGTTGAAGATTCAGAAAAGGGTTTCTTAAATGAAATGACAGCAAAAGTTATAAAGAAATTTGAAAATAATGAACTGATCGGTTGGGCAAGCTTGGTATTGACGTGTATTTTATCACAATATCACCACACTCTAACCGATCTGGATGTGACAAAAATTTTAAAAGTTTCCATTCCATTAATAAAAATTGATGAGTTTTGTTCCATTGCATGTCTGCTAGTCGCTTTTTGTATAAAATACTCAGCCTTTTCTGTCACTGATCAAAGTGTGTCAGCCCAAATCCAAGATGTGTACGAACTATCAGACATCAATGGACCAGTTCAGATAAACAATATAACATTTATTTTTTGGACATACTTTGAACAATATGGTAAAAGACTTCAAACTTATGGATACTCATTGAAGCGGGTTCTTGAATGGTTAAATTCGAAGTGGGAGCAGTTAAATGAGCTACATGAGGAAAACTCTAAAATATCTGACTTTGTCGGATGGATATGTGGACAAAATTCCAGCCGTTCAATAAATTTCTTTTCAGACAGTGCCATGACAACCCTAAAGGTGGCACACTGGAATAGGTTAACTTACATCTGGGATACATTGTCAATTCAAAGACGTCATCTCATAGCCTTGAAGGATGTACCTAGGAAAAAAAAATTACCCCTGCAGATGCCTCATCCTAATCAATTTTCGGTTAATAAAACTAATGTGGTAAATGATTTTTTAAATCGTTTCATTGATCAGGTAGAATCAAATAAAAATACAGACCTTGATAGGTATCAATGGATTTTTCAATGTACTCTTTATATTTCATGTTTCATAAATGAGGTAATATTTGCAGATCTCGTCCCAGTCCTTACATCAACCATAATTTCGGTACTCCCGAGTCTAAAACTTACGAGTGATAGTCACTACTGTATTATATTTAAAGGGATACTAACATCAAATTGTTTGTCCCATGAATATCAACTGTTACCAAGTTCCGAAGTTATAAAACTTTTAGATGACTACAAGATGCATTTAAAGCGGAATAAGAAAACCAATTCCAACGTTATTTATGAATTGCAATATATGTACATTGAAAATGAAATAAATGATGACATATTATCAAATGAACATGTTTTAAAGCGCTATGACAGTGATACCCTTATATTATCTTTTCAGGTACTTTTACGTTGTGCTGATATTTCAAATAATGGAACCCGACGGGAATTCTTATTATATTTGATAGAATATTTGGCAGAATTGTCAAATAATGAGTTAATTAACGTTCTCAACTCTATATTATTATCACTTTCAAAATATCTAGTTGAAAATATGGATATCCTAGAAAAATTAATAGATATAATAGCCAATAATTTGCTGAATGACAAATATGGAAATACTTCATCTTCAGTTTATTTGCTGTGTGAATTTTTAGATTCATGCCGCCAGATATGGTTAAGTAAAAGGAACACCAAAGTGACAGAAGATTGTAATGATTTTTTTGATTTCTTATTCCAAACATTCGACAGTAATACATTTAGTGGGACTTTCTCTATTATAAAATATTCAAATTTTTTATTAAATTTACTACTCTATGGGAATTATACGGCAGGTGAAGTATTACACGGTCGTAGAAAACAAATCTTTAAAACAATGATGGATTGTCTAAAGCGTGTTAATGACGCCCTTGTAACTAAAATGGTCCCAAACTTATCAAGATATATATCTGGAATAAGACCTGAAAACCAGGCGATTGCTCTTATTGAATTATTAGAGTTATATGAACAGCCCCAACAAAGTTTAGAAAAGTCTGCGTTTTTTTCATTGTCTATCGAACTTTTATCGATGTATTCATTTTCCAATTTATTATTTGGCATTCAGAGAATGCAGGTATGTGCTACATACCCCCACACAAGAAAATATATTAAATTTGCCTTAATAAATATCTCACAAAGGTATAACTTATCTGATTTGAATTCATTATTTGCGATGTGTAAATTCGAAATATTGAATTTATGGATTTCCAAAATGCCTTCAGCATCAAATTTTTCGGATTTTGATATTGAATTATTTGATTTCGATGACATTAAACATTTCCTGAACTTATACCAAACAGAAATCGGTGCAATTATTTACTCTGATTCAAAGGATTATCAAAAATTAAAAGAAAATTTGATTTTGGTGACAAATACCAGTGAGCGTTCATTAATGACAAAATGTATTAATTGCGCTATTGCTTTGTCTTATGTTGAAGGAAATATTCAAGGGCAAATCCATAAATTAGTTTATGATATTTTACCACAATCATTCAGCAAGACATTGAAATCTCAGTACTTCATTAGGTTAAGATGGTTTCTCAATTTTGTTGATTTGGGTGTTCCAAAGCAAGTATCAATGATTCTGTACAATGAATTTCCAAAGAGTTTCTTACTAAGTCACTTATTTGAAAACGGATCTAGTATGCAATACAAGATGGCAATTTCAATTCCCCTAATAAATTTCAAACAAATACTAAATGATGAATGCTTTTATAAAGTACAAGATGTGGGAGAATTGAAAATAGTTATATTTTGGATATTATCTGATTTGGAAAAATCTATATCTGAACAGCATTCGATAAACTGTATTAGGGAGCTGAAGTTGCTTCTAGTGATGTTTGAAAATATTGTATTACAGTCTAGTGCGTCAATTACAATAATTGAAAGACTGTCAATATACATTTCACAAAGTCATTTGCATGAGGAATCAATTTCCGTGATTACTGAGTTATTAAGGAATGCATACGCAATGAAATATGACATTACATCGATACTGGTCACAGTATTTTCACAAGTCCTGACATATCTCAATGATGGAAAAAATGAAGCATCTTATTTAGTAAAAGAACTATTGCAAGAAATGGAAGGTTGGGATATAGAGTACTCAACGATTTGGGAATATTGTAGGTTTGTAATTTATGGAAACAAAAAAGAAATTCAGATTGTACAATCGATTGATATTTTAGAAATATCTCAATGTGGCAAATCTGGCCTTACTTTGTTATCTATCCTATTTTCATATTCTAAATTAAATCCAATTCAATTTTCTCCTTTAAAAGATAATGTTGCTAACATAATTAAGGCAGATATACCAAAACACCTTCTCACGAAGCAGTTTCAGTTATGGGTAGTTAATTGCCTTACCGAATATTATTTAAGAAATCAAAGGTGGGATGATATAATTGAAAAAGAGAAATATGAGGACTATAAACAAATATTCGCACAATTAGGATCATTAGATCATTTTTATTCTCTATTTTTTAGTTACAAAAATATTGAAAATTCTAATATGGGCAATCATTCCTTTCTTATATCAGAATGTATCCAAAACGTTCTTATCTATGAATATGAGAATTCAGAAAACAGGTTCTGGACTATTAATAACGAGCTGTATTCAAAGTTCAAAGTCTCTAAGTTTTCGATCAATATTGATTCATACTCTGTGATTATTGGAGGAAAAGATAAAATTATTAGTCTAGAACATTTTATCTCAAACAATTTCTTTTTAGAAGTCATAAAATATGAAGAATGGATTTCGAATTTTACTTCTTCACTATTATATCATATTGCAAGTTATGTGCCACATATGGTCATATTCAAGGAATTGTGTTGCAATGAAATAAAATTCTCTGAAACTGTCATTTCAACCCTTATATATATAGCGGTATATGTTGACGCTAGAAGTGGTGTTAAATGGGTTTCAAGCCTTCTTTCAAGTCTTGATAGGATTCTTTTAACAATTGACTCCAAAAAGAAGTTGAATATAATGTTTAACATCTTTAGAATGGTAAGAACTGGAAATAGAACTGGCGAGCAATATTGTTTTTCTATTTATGAAAATATTGATATCCCTCTTATCTATATGACTGCCATACGATCTGGTTTTACCTCTTTGGGTTACATGTTACTTGAGGAACACTGTATGTTTCCCGATAGAGATCTTGACGTCAAAAATTTAAAGACGGTATATGAAACTTTAAATGACATTGATCTTATGGCTGGTTTGCCAATTCCTCATACTCTAGCGGGAGCAATTCAAAATATTAATAAAACATGTCCATCTGCCTGGAAAAGATTTTTGTTCAATAATGCCCTCTATGATTCTACAGTTCATCACAATACTCAAGAAAACATCTATCCGCTAATAAAATCTACTGAAGATAATGGATTTTTTAGCATGACAGCATCTTTAAGTAAGAACTTAGAGTTCGAAAATTTGGAAAATTCATATAATTGGGCTCTAGAGCTTGGAAATTGGGAACTGCCAGAACCAAGTCATATATCAGATAAGATTTCTGGTTTCTATTATTCTTTAAAACGGTTGAATTATGAATCAGGTAATCCTGTAGGAAATCTAGATAATTCTTTAATTAAACTTGTGGATGTGAAATCGAATTTTATTAATAAATCTGAATGGATGGATACAATAGTTGAATTATCATTATTGAAAAAAATTTTATTAGATACTTCTGCCGGAAGTTGTATGTCAACCTTAAAATTTTATTCGAATTTAGATCGAAATCAAATTCATTACCTGAACCATGAAAATTATGATAGCAATTTGAAGGTTAGATATCTAGTTTCATCTATTCTTACCAAGATCAGCTACAGGAATAACAATTCCTCAATATGTAAGCAGTTGGAATTAACAAGTTTGTTCTTTTTATCAAATTTAATTAAATTTTCTATTGAGGAAGAAAATACACAGATGGCGTTACAAAATTCTATATTACTTGATGATCTGGTTAAAGTCAGTAAATATGCAACAAAAAATATTGAATATACAAAAACGATGCATGTAGCAAAGGCATTATGGGCACTAGATGAGCGTAAGACTGCTATAATGATGATGAGAGATTTGAAAGAAGAAACTCGTGTCAATGTTAATCCTAAAGTGAATGATAGTTATGAATACTTATTTGATGTTTCAACGAATGAAATCAATGCAACATTAGTAAAGTGGACCTCTCAATCAAGATACGAATCAGCAAAAGATATTAGTGAAACGTATGTCAATGATATAAAGTTATCAAAGGAGGAATCGAATTCTCAAACAGAAGTATTTTATATCTTAGGGGAATTTTTTGATGAACAAATTAATAAACTGAATGAGGATGACTATATTTCTGAACTGCAAAATAGATGCCAAAATGCATTAAATGAGTTACAAACGTTAAAAGCTATTGCATCTAAAAAAAATCTGAAATCATTCGAACGCAAAGATGCTGAAAGGCAATATTCAAGAGTTCATATACAATATAAGAAAGATAAGGAACTTCTAGATAACTTAAAGTCACAATATGAGAGATTTCTGGAAAATGCTTTAAAAAATTATATCAATGTATTAACCTACACAACAAAATATGATAATGATGTTTTAGATAAATTCTGTGGATTATGGTTTTCATATGATAGTGATGAAAAGGTGAATACATTATTATTAGAAGAAATACAAAAAGTTCCAAGTTGGAAATTCTTACCATGGGTGAATCAAATTGCATCAAAACTGTCTATGGATAATTCAAGTTTTCAAAAGGTATTGCAACATACGATGACTAGATTGCTATACAATTTACCATATGATTCATTATATGCAATATTGAGTATCTCCTTCTATAAAATGCAGACAAAAAATATGGATGAGAGCATTGTACAAAAAGTAAAGGCGGCTGAAAATATTTTAAATGAATTAAAATCATATGACAACGGGACCTATTATCGGAAGATTGTTGAACCAATACAAGAATTCTGTGAAAAATCGATTTTACTATCTAATACTAAATTGCAAAGATCTTCAAAGGTTTATCTAAAAAGTTTAGAAACCGGGAAATACTGGTTACAAACTCTACCATCCCAATCTCTTCCATTACCGACGGTTAAATTTGAGACTTCAAAGATAAGCAATGGTGGTTTAGATAGGCCATATATAACGTCATTGAAGGAAACTATTGAAGTGACTTCTACAGGACTGTCACTACCAAAGATTCTTACATTTTATTTATCTGATGGTACCAGACATAAGGTTCTGCTAAAGGGAAGCAATGATGACTTAAGACAAGATGCTATCATGGAACAAGTTTTTAAACAAGTGAATAAAATACTAAGAGGGGATTCTGAGATAAGAAAACATGATTTATCTATAAGAACATATGAAGTTATTCCCTTGGGTCCAAGAGCTGGTATTATTGGATTTGTTTCTAATTCGGTAACATTACATGCAATTCTAAAGGAAAAACATAAACATGATGAAATTCAATTTGATCAAGCAAGAGAGCTTATGGGGAATGTCCAAACGAAATCTAATAAAGAGAGATTAGAAGTATACCAAAAAATAGCAAGAAAAATCAAACCACAACTTAGAAATTTCTTCTTCGATTCCTTCACTGAACCTGAAGAATGGTTGAATGCTAAAAGAAAATATACCAAAGGTACCGCAGTGATTTCTATAATTGGATATATTTTAGGACTTGGTGACAGGCATTTAAATAACATATTGATTGATTATGTCACAGGAGAGCCTATTCATATCGATTTAGGTATTGCATTTGATCAAGGACGTCTTCTGTCAATACCAGAGACAGTTCCATTCAGGTTAACCAGAGACATTGTTGATGGATTTGGCGTGACTGGGGTTGAGGGTATGTTTCGCAGAAGTTGTGAGACAATTTATGGTGTTTTACGAAAAGATCGTGATAAAGTGTTGCATGTTATTAATATTTTGAAATGGGATCCATTGTATTCATGGGTCATGTCACCAGTTCGAAAGCATAAGCATTTGATTGAAGAAAATGGTGAATTGATAAATAATATTTCGTTTTCAGAGAACAGTAACAGTAAGATGCTAGATGAGAATCAAGAGGCTAATAGGGCCATCAAAGGAGTTGAAGAGAAGTTAAGAAGCAGGTTGAGTATTGAAGCCACAGTTCAAGAAGTTATTCAAGAAGCTAGCGATCCAGCAAATCTGTCTCTAATTTTTAAAGGTTGGTCTCCATTTTATTAGGAAGCAAGATTAAGAAGAAATTTGATGTTTCTTTATAAAGGTGTTTGGGTATCTTATTTGTTACACATTGTTATATTCTAAATAGTAGATTTTTTGAGTAAAATATTGTATATCACATTTCAAATGCATTATAATTGATTAATTTCATAGTAGTAAGAAGAGTCCATTAATTGTTGATTGTCCATTTCATATACCTTCGTCATCCTCTATTAATTGTACGTAATTACTTGGGATGATACCTACTTCACCGGTCTCCTTCTTAGATTTCCACCATCTACCCTCGATATCGCTGACTTTTAATATTTCACCTTGTTCGAATGAAACTTCATAACCATCAGCATCATCAGCTTGATATGAGTACAAGGCTCTTGCAGTGTAAGGGAAAGATTCATCTCCGAATTCACTGTATAAACCTAAAGTATCGCCCATAGTGGTTTCAGTATTACCATTCGAAGACTCTGTTACAAAAGTATTTACATTTTCATTACTTGTCTTCAAAGTATCAGTAGGATTACGAATTTGCATACTAATAACCTCATCATTCTGTTGATCTCTGTAAGGGCTATTAAAATTTGAATTGGTTGAATTTGGATTAGTATTTTCGAACCCAGTTAAGCCCACTGCTGAGACGTAATTTTGATTTTGGTCGACCCCATTGTATAAGTTTGTTGATAGATGTAAGTTTTCTCTCTCTAAAGCAGCATTTTGTAAATTTCTACTGTGAACAGCAGACCTACGACGTAAAGATCTAATTAAAGCATCTTCGTAAGCAGAAGGTCTGATACCACGTAGAGAGAAGGAATCGATCCAACGGTTTGTAGGAGAAGCATTATCACCACCGTAATAGAAAACCCAAATCAAATTAATCACAGATAACAGTATAACACCAGCTGAGGCAGCAGCTTTTCTTGCACCATTACTGTAAACCAGGTTAGTTGCACTATTTGTATTGTAAATAAAAGCGACACCACTACCAGAAGAGATGAAACCTTTATAATAATCCACCAGATCGTAACAGTAAATTACAATCATAATAAACAAAAGTAGAGCTTGGTAAGCAATCCCCCACCAAGTAAACCTTGGGAACGATTCTCTATCAGTAGCTGAAGCAATTGAACCACCAAGTGTAATAACCCAAGAAATCATCGAAATTGAAATAGTAGATATAGCGAATGGATCACCTACTAAATTGCTAATACCAAAAGAATGCCTTACATGATGACCAGCTCTACGAGCCTTAGCATTAGCCCTGCTTGGAATCATCCTAATGCTCTAATTTTATTATCGTTATCGTTAGCGTTAGCGTTATATGGGCCAACCTTCCAAATCGAACTCGAATTCGAAACAGAAACCAACATCAAGACCAAGACCAACAACAACTACAACATTTATATATAACGTAACAAGATCAATTCGATAAGCTATCAAATCAAACAATATCGACAGATCTAGAACACATCAAAACGCCAAAATGATCCAGTAATTTTTCACTTCTAAAATTAACGTGTTATTTACATTTCCAGTGAGGTGGATGTTACTACAAGAGGATATTTGATACTGACGTAATGAATATACGTTTACAAGAAGTCAGTGTGGTTTATGATTAGGATGTGAGATAGTCAGGTCATTGGGAGGACAATGTCTTGTATTTTGTAGTTATAGTTATAACAGCATTACATTGATTGATATATGAAAGATTTTTGTGAGTTGTGGATTGTGATTTGATTTGATTTGATTTCAATGAGAGGCACCCAGGAACAATGATGCAAACAATGATGCGAACATTATAAAGGTTCCCCAAGTCACTAGAACAGCAGAAGCTATTTTAGTTGCTTTTGTCTTGATTGGCATTTCATTGAAATTCTTGTACTCTGAGCCTATTAATTGGTAACCGAATAATCCTGGTAGTATGAATGATATTGAAGTTGAACCTGTTGCACCTACGATTGCCAGGACTCTTGCTAATGAAGTAACTGAGATTGCCAAGAAGTATGCAGACACCAGGATACCTATTGTAATGATTGTGAATTGGCTTTGTTCCAGTGGTATCGTTTCGAAAGGGTGGTCTTGTTCTGGGTACTCTTCTTCTATAAGCTCTTCGGTTGGTATTGTTAATGGGTCTTGAGTTATCTGTTGCAGAATTGCTGGTGGGGGTGGGGACTGGTTATCCATTAGGGTTGTGGTCTCTGAGAACCCAGCTGGGTTTGAATTCTTGTTGTCTTGAGCTGGTTTGAAATAGTGTATGATATGGTTGATTGATGCACGAGCAGGATGGCATTGCAATGGGAAAGCTAAAGTAACCAAGAAAATTATAGCTATTCTACCAATGGTTGTGGAAATATTTTGCGGGTACAACGTTATAATGTTACCAGTAATGTGATCACCAAACGTTAAATAACCTGCTCCGCCGATTAGTATATATAGGAAACCAGCTAGTATCATCGATATAATGGCGATTTTCTTGACACTATTGTAAGTTGGATCCATTTGTTCATTGATAACAGAAAACATATTATGGTGGCAGGTATATGCAAAGACGTAAATGGGTAACGTTGTCAATGGATTTAATCCATTTTTGGGTAACCCCCAAGAGACGTCGCCTTTAAAATTATGGGTTTCATCATTTGGCATAATAAAATGAATTAAAACCAAAGCACATAAATAAGCAACCGATGAGATTGCCAACATCGAAGCATATCTTAGTGAATTCAAATTCTTGAGGAAACATAACGGTGTCACGATGAACAGCATTACCAATGTAATATTAACATTTCTGTTAAGCAGCCATTCGTGATTTGTAAACGTAGATAAAACTTGTGGTAGCACATCGCCAACAACAATCATATAGGAAACACCGACACCAAAGCATTTGATGGCAATGGCTAAATCGAATACAATACTTAAATTCGGATTCGTTATCTGAGTTAATGTAAAGAATGAAGCGTTTCTTACAGGAACATAGCTTGATACTCTTGATTGTAATAATAAACCAATCATCGCACATATTCCACAAATAATGATCATTATAAAACCTGTTATTAGACCATATGGTTTGAATGCATATGGCATTGCAAGGATACCAGCACCACAAGCAGTGTGAAGCAACGTTAAAACACCAGAACGTACAGACGATGACATTAGCAAGAGCAACTAGTTCCTATTTCCCACTTAATCCACTAATCAAAGATACCAAAAACCAGAAGATTCCTATTGAATAAAAGTCGACAATCAACAATGATACCTGATCTTGATCGATGATCTAACACTTGTCAAATCAATTAGTCGTCGTTGGTTCACTTTAAGTTATTGGGTTCAAGATGTTTTAAAGTGTTATTGGTTCAATCAAGTTTAGGATTCGGGATCAACTTTTATATAACATTTCGATGTAAAGGTTTCGAATTAAATCATTGATTGATTGATTGATTGATGAAAGGTTGGTTATACAAGTTATGGAGTATATAATCTTGGCTATTTACAGATGGGGAGGGGGTGGTGATGATATATGATGTAGTTTGTC